TTAAGCAGCTGGCATATATTTCTTTATTAGAAAGCATAAATGTGGTTGCAGTTGCTTTTTGAAGCAAAGCAGAATTGCATTTATTTGGTTTGATACTGCTGCTTGGTGCTGACAGCTGCTGCACTGCCAGCAAGTGTTTGTCCTTACTGGGGATTGCTGCTCTATATCAGAATTTGGTGGTGACAGGGCTGATCCAGATCTCCATTCCCTTACCACCCAGTGCTTGAATCAGAGCGCTGGAGACCCTGTGCTAATCACTGTGGGGCTTGCCCTTCAGGAGTGTTTGCACCTGTACAAACCTGGGGAAAAACTGCAACCAGATGAGATGCTTCATTTTGAGTTGTACAAGTTGTGGTATTTAGGTAATGATCAGTCACTGTGTGAATCTAATGGTCTTTGGGGAGAACCTGCAACTTGGATAGCCCAAAGCAAATGTTCAAATTTGGTAGGAACAGCTGCTGTTTTTAAAGGCTATTTAATGCCTTGACTTCTCTGACCATTGCTAGCAAAGGCCACATCTCTGGTATGAGGATTTTCATATTTCCCTTTCACTTCTTCTGTTCTCAAAGTGTAGCAATTCTTAATTTACTGCAGGTGATTCTGTCCACAACAGCAGATTACAAACACATGTGTGATATGAGAGGAATGTGATTATTTACTGATTTTTTTAAATAGCATCTTGCCTTTGAGGTTCTTAAACTGCTTTTAAAACTTCAATTGAACTCTGAGTTTCCTTGTTTTGTTTGTCGCTTTTATTCAAATGCGGGAAAAACTGAGGCTCTGTGGGTGGAATTTGGCTCTCTTGGGAGATTCTACAGTAGCTGGTCTGTGCCTGTTGATCTTAGTTTATGCAGAGCATTTGCAGGTCTAGCTATAATTATTAGAAGAGACCTGGTTTCTGAGAAACACTGGAAAAGTATTTTGCCTCAGTGAAAAACACTGAGGCAAAAAACACTGGCTGGGATGACAGCCCCATCCTGTCATAGTAAATCAATAAATCATAGTAAATCAATTTACTGTTGCCATTGTAAATCAAGATTGAAACCTACAGCAACACTAGAGCCTCCTCTGAAATCCATTTCGCAAGGTGTTCTGTGGGATTCAGACAAAGTATTCCCTCCTTCACCCTATCTTGCACCATTTTGCAATGGTCCCTGTCCTTAGCAGGGCCAGGACTCCTGAGGTCAAGGGCAGACCAAGGAGCCAGGCCATGGTTGCTGCCCAATCTCTGAAATGCCAGATCCATGCCCGCTTCTGGTGTGGTTTGCGCCAGACAGCAGCTGACACATCACTCCATCTCTGATCCGCCTGAGATCTGGGAGCTGCAGTGGACTCCTGTCTCCTGCCCTGGTAAAGCTGCTCCATTAATAGCTATCAAAGAGCCTGAAGTTTCCATCCCAACTTTATCTGGCTTTGCAGTGAGCTGGAGGATTAAAGCTGTGGCAGGGGAAGGGAGGGAGCGGCTGCGGCTCACCCGGAATAGCCTGACCTATGACGGCAGTGCCAGCCTGGGGAGGGGAGCTGTCCTGTGAGCTCAGGGGTTATTAGCAGTGAGCACAGACATGTCTGCAATCAGCAGCACACCCTGGGCCAGCTGCTCCATCCCTGCCTGCTTCAGGGAGTCCAGGGGGATTTGTTAGTGGGACTTGCCAGCACAGCTCTTGGATGGGGGAACTGGGAGTAGGCTGGAGGGCCAGCATTGAGGCGCCGTCCTCTGTGCTGCTCTGATGGCTTGGGGTTTGACCTCTGGGCTGTTCATGTGGGGCAGATCTGTCTATGAGGGAGAGCATTATGAGGAGATAACCACTGTCCTGCTGCAGCCCAGGGGCTGTTGTCTCTCTGCTGCACCATAGCAGGTGAAAAAGGGATCATTGTATGGCTGGGGCTTGCCCACAGGGCCAGCTGGCAGACATGGGGCACGAGCCTTCATCTACTTGGGGAGTAGTGTAGGAAGCAAGAAAAGGGTTTTTTTTTTTTATGTAGCCAGGGATTCACTTCTCACAGGCTCTCTCCTGTACCTGATTTTGTTTTCCTTGCTTTATTTCTCTGCAGGCATCCCCAAGTCATCTGTTTCACCCATCCCTTGTCACCACTGGAATCACACAGGGTTTCTTCTCCCTTCCTCTCTCCCCATTCAGAGCTGCTCCTCACCTGAGCTTTCCTGTTACAGCAGGAGCTTTTTTCCTTAGAGATAGGCTGGGAGTCAGAGCTCTTTACAGTGCCCAGTGTTTTACAGAAATTGTGCGGAGCACCTCAGCACAGTGGAACAAGATTTTCCCAGCTGGCCAGATGATCCCAGACTAAGTGTGCCTGTTCCCCAAGGGGCTGTAGAACTGGAAATTAACTCCTTGGATATGATGGATGCAGGCATGTAGCTCCATAATGAATAGTCTGTGAGTGCTGCTCAGTGTTTTACAGCAGGAAGCACTGAGGCTGTTCTGAGTCTTTGACCCTGGTGACATACTCCAGATTCCTCCCAGTTAAATGCTCTCCTTCCCTCCCCTCCAGGCCTGAAAGCATCACATCTTTTGAACAGCCAGACAGATGCATTGCCCTGTAAAAATGTCCTTTGTATCTCCAGTAATTCTATTGATCTGCACATTGAGGGAGAATGTAATTCATCTTTGGAATTTACAGCTTGCATACTTCATTGTTATCAGTGATGGGTGCTATTGGTGTGCCTGCTCTTTGGACACCTAGAAAGTCACCCAGCAGGTGGGAAACCCCTGCTTCATACATCTGACAGCCTAGGGGAGTGCAGCTGAACAACATCTGGAGGAGATACCACTTGATGAGAGAGATGAGGCCATACTGAACTTGTGTCCTGCTGGCATGGCAGAGTAAGGTGTAACCTCAGCAGCAGTGCTGTTATGGGATGTGCTCCCCTTTGCTGGAGTGGATGGGCACAGGAGACACCGGCGTCTGGTGCACAGGACTCTGCCAGTACAAACAACATTGCTTCTTCTCTCTCCAGCAAGCTCTTACATGCCAAGGGTTTGTGAGGAAGAAGGGAATATTCATGCTGTCTGTGTCCTGCTGTGTAGATGGATTTACCAGGCATTTGCGGTTGCAGTGTTTGTTGAGTTGTACTCAAAATTCTGGTGGTCCTTGATTCAGCTCTTGGTGACAAAGAGGGCACTCTTTGTCTGTGTGTCCTTTTCCCTCCTTTTGCTGACACTGGAATACCTCAGCAATTTCTGGAGATGAAGAGAAGCTGTTGAACAGAGGGAGGATGCAAAATAGTGATTCCCTCCTAGACATTTAATTCCAGCTGAAATAAGGGGATTTAGGAGCTGAATGCTGAATGACTGCACTATTTATCAGATCTTCCACTAGAGTCTGTTACTGTGGTCAGGGGTGAGATGGGAATATCCATTCGTGTGTTGGGGAGAGAGAAACTGAGATTAGCCAAATAGGCATAACAGGTGTTCTCCACCTCAACAGTATAAAAAAACATGAGAATGGGCCAGTAGGTGCATGGCCAGTTGGGCTAAATTACTATTGTAGGTCACTTCAAATTGAAAATATTCTATTCTACATTCCGTTGCCTGATCCTTTTCAATTTCATTTTGGGGACTAATCATGAAAGACTGATCCCTGCCTTGCAGGGGAAAAATTCTCTCTCTGTTCTCTGAGAAGATCCTTGGGTAGCAAAGGCAGCTGGAGGAAACTGGTTTGGGTGACTGTCATGGCTCTCTAGCAGTCCCTCAGTCTGGGAACAGTTAGTAATGGTCTCCATGAAGACCTGGTGTCAATATCAGGGACCTGCTTTTTTTTTTGTCTTTATCTCCTTTTCCCGAAAAGGGGCTGAGCTTACAGCTGAGGTCTGTGGGTAAAGGGCTGTTCTGCTGTGCTCAGCAGAGCAAGGGGGACTCCAGCTCTCCAGAGCCTTCTGCCTCTTGGGCACTGGTGCCCTTTCCAGGCAGGGCTGCCTCTCTTGTGGAGGTGCTCCCTCAGCTCCCTTTCTAGCTCACCTCTGGTTCACCAAAACCTCCTGTGGCTGAGGGCTGGGAGGGCTTTTCTCTGGTTTCACTGTTCCTGTGAGACAAGGCTTTTTTTGCCCTTTTTTTTTTTTGCATGGTTAGGTTTTAGTTTTGATTTACAGAGATTATATAATCAGCCATAACCAATTACAGGGTATATCCCAGTCCCCCTGCAGCTGGAGTTGCTTGGGGCATGGCAAATAGCTGCTGCCCTCCTCCACAGGTTTGCCCAGACCTCTTGTGATGGATGTACCTGCCAGGCCAGAACATGAAATGCCGTTTTGTTCTAAGCCTGGGAGCAATCCACTTAGCTGCACGGAGAGGGAACTAAGAGAGAAGGGTGATAAGAGAAGTAGCCTGATAAGGATTTTTGTACAGGCTGTGGGGAGCTGTGCTGTGCAGGGAGGTGGCTGCTGACAGTCTCAGGAGTGACACTTGGCCTGAGTGTCACACCGATTAATGGTGTAAGGTCCCCAATGGCTCTCAGCACCAGCTCTTGTGAGGCATGGGCAGAGTGAGAAAAGGTGGAAGGAAGGTGGGACTTTCAGTGCTCCAGCTACTCTCCCTCCCTCCCTGAGATCACTGCACAACTCTCTCTGAGGCCAATCCTGCTGTTCTGGGAGCAGAACCCCACCCTGTCTGGACTAGGCACTAGTGTTAAATCAGGAAAAATGTAACTGCACAACACAAGACATATTAGGGATGTGGTTTGTGTCTTGCTGGTTCAGGAGATAACTGGATTGCTGTTGCCTTGTCTGCAAAAAAAAACATTAGATCAGTGAAAGAGAAGCCTCAGTCATGCTCTTCAGTACAGCAGAATGTAAGGAGTTTGAGTTCTTCCTGACTCATTTGTAAATCTGTTTTCAAACTATGATTGTGTGGAAAAATATTCTGAAAATCTTGAGCACAAGAATAAGGGTGACTTTTTACCTTTGGCCTCTGGACCAAAAACGTGCAGCTGTTTCTATGCTTTTCTGTATCTGTGTTTAAAGTCTCCTTTCTCCTCTCTCTCTGCAGGTCCTTCAGAAGCTTGGTAAAGCAGATGAAACAAAAGATGAGCAGTTTGAACAGTGTGTGCAAAACTTCAATAAACAGCTGGTAAGATAATTGTCAATATGTAATTGCACCCTGGGTTTCAGTATTAGCCTCCAGTCATCTGCTGCAATGCAATTAAAGGCCATTAAAATAAACAATGACACAGGCCTGTTGAAGTGACCCATAACTCGTAACTTCTCACTTACAAGAAATGACATTGTGACTTCCAGGGTCTCTTTCATGGAATCAGTGGGAGAATCATAGAACATGCTGAAGTCCATCAGGATTGTAAGTCCAGGTCCCTTTGCAGGACACCCCAAGAGTCACACCATGTGCCTGAGAGCATTGTCCAAATGCTTCCTGAGCTCTGTCAGGCTTGGTGCTGTGAAAATGTCCCTGAGGAGCCTGTCCCAGTGCCCAGCCACCCTCAGGGTGAAAAACCTTTTCTTGATACCCAGCCTAAATCTCCCCTCCTCAGCTTTATCCTGTTTCCTCAGTCCTGTCACTGGTCACGAGAGTGAAGAGATCAGTAAAAATAATGAAGAGATCAGTAAAAATAATGCTTGTTCTAGACTCAATTTTACAAGAAGAAATAGCTCGAGCAGAACACTTTCTTCAGTTAGCAGCTGCTTTGTAATCTAATTTTTGCTGCTCTGCTGGAAGCAGAGATATAAGAGCAACATTGTGTCACTGAATGAGGGATAAGTTGGGAAACAGATTAGACATAAAGTAAAATGGAACAAGGCAGTTTCAGTTTCCCAAGCACAGTGTAGGGCAGAAGAGACAGAGAAAGCAAATGGTGAAAAGGGAACATCCTTCCATGGCTAAGACCTAAATCTGACTTCTTCCCCATACTTGCACAATCACTGTGTCAGGCCTGAGTCATTATTCTTCTGCGTGTCTGCCTCATCCCCAGTATTTTAGGGCACAGAAATATTTTAACAGTGTAGCAATTTTTCCCTGCCCTCCTACTTCCACAGCAGTAGGTTTCAATCTTCAACTGGGTGTGTTTTGTTTTATTTTTTATCTAGAGCCTTCAGCCTCCTAGCAGGGAAAACACCAGTTACCTTGTGGATTTTGCTGGTGCTTGTTGGTAGGGGAAGCATTGCTTCTGTTTTGTGGCAGGAAATGTGTGCCATAGCGTAGTAACATTTATTCAGGTGGTGCTGAATAAATGTTACTCTTTTGTGGCTTGACACATTTAGGACCTTTTTCTAGAGCTGTTAGTGGCAGCTGCATCGTGTCTGTTGAGACTCAGCAGATGTGGTGGTGTTGCAAAACCAGCTGAGCAGGGATTTGCCACAGCTGAATGTAATGAAAATCCTTCAGTCTGGCTTTGACTTATGTGTAACCAGAGCTGATTGCAGATTCCTGGACACTAATGCTCCTTCTCTTGGCAGCAATAGCAGCTATTGCTCCAGAAATTCATGCAGCATGTCCAGCAATGATACTCTTTTGTAGACAGCAGAATATATTTTAACTGCTTTCTGACAATGTGACATTACCAGACGTGACTTTTTTGGTATAATTTTTAAGCAATTAAGAAATAACCTTTATAAATGAGAAATACAAAACCCCTCAGATTCACATTTCTAGCTGTGACTCTCTGGGATGCCTTTTTCAATTTCCAAAGCCCTAAGTTCCAGTGAGGAGCCTGTTAAGAAGCACTGCCTCTTGTATCCCTTGCATCTGAATTCTTTCTCCTTTTTTGTGGAGCAGACCATGAACTAAATTCTCCAAATAATTAATCAAAGAAGCTGGAGGCTGCTCTGCATTTGCTGCTTGGGGTCTGCTGGTTTTTCTTAAGCTTTCAGTTTCCCTATTACTAAAATAAATGCAGACAATGCCTGTTTTACAGGGCAGACCATGGGTGTGAGTTAGCTGGATTCTTAGGAAATCCAGAGCTGAGGGCTAGGGGAATAAAAAATTAGCTTTATATACATATATACAAACTTCTTTATATTTTTATATGTATTAGGTGTGTGTAGTATAGTTATCTTTGAGATTTCTGTGACCTTTCATTACAGTCTGCTCCAGTGGGGGGTGGAGGTCTGGAGGAAAGCTGACCTGTTGCTGCAGGCTGGTGACAGAACAGCGCTGCTCTCTTGTGGAACTGGCCAGGGTGTGAGCAGGCATTGACTTTGTTCACTGGCTAATTAGAGGCTCCTCTGACTCTAATGACTGTGCTGAATCACTTTGACACATGTTGCTGTGTGTGGTCTGCTGAGGAATGGAGTGCAGGTCTAAAAATCAAGTAATCATTTTCAACCAACGTGTTTGTGGTTCTCTCAAATAGTGGTTGAGTGGACATAAGGGAAGGCATTGGACTTCCTAACTCCGTCCATCAGGTTCATATAAGAGCACGACTCTGAGGTCCCTGAATGGTATGAACTTTTTGGCTCAGATGGATTTGCTTTGTGGCAAAAGAGCTGGACACAGCCATGCAGGTGCAGGGCTTGCCTGTGTCTCCTGAAGGCTTGGCAAGCAGCAGAACTGCCCCTCACTACTCCCTCATGGAGATTCTTTGGCTATTTACCTTTCCAAATGGCCATTTGAATGTCCCTCCTCCTTCCCTTTCCCAGTGTCACTTGTGTTCAGTCACTGGCACAAGGATCTGTCCTAGATGCTGACCTGGGAGCAAGAATCTGGCTATAAAGGTGCAGCTCAGCCCCTTCCTGAAGTGTGCCCGGCTTTGGCTTCTCTTGCCCTGAGCTGAAGTACTCACTGGAGGGACAGTGTGAGGCTGGTGGCAGCTCTTACACCTGGCACCAGGTGTGTTTCTACCTGGCAGAGCTGCTGGGTTTTGATACCCTTCATGAGCTGCCACTTGTGTGGAAGTTCTGGGCTGGTTTACACCTTTCACACCGAGCACACGAGAGGGAAGCTGCTGCTGGCACAGGCTGCACCCACCTCTGCCTGCACCACAGTGTGTTGGGCACAGCCCCTGCTGCAGGGCAGGCACTGGGACCTTTGCTGTCACAGGGTAGGTTCCCATTGCAGTTAGTAGCTCAGAGAGGGTTTCTTCCCTGACAAGAGCCCTTCACACCCAGCAGTTTCCATTTCAGCCCTATGTGGCAAAACAAGCTTAACAGCCTCTCTGTGGTACCCCAGGGTGGAGCTTCCCTCCCAGAGTTCATGCTCTGTGTTAACAGCTCTGAAGTTTTGCTGAGGGGGGGCTTACCTGGAGTTGTTGTTTCAGTGCTTCTCCTCCCTGTAATTATACAGTCTGCTCTTCCAGCCCTGCATTAATCTAATCTGGAACAGGACATATCTCCTGCCCCCTCTGATGTCAAATGTGCACAGCTGAGTTTAAACATCAGCAAGAGGTGACTGAGAGCACTCCAGCTGCAGGATGCAGCACCACTGGTGAGGATGCCTGGAGAGCACAGAAGGCTGGTTCTGCATTACTGAAATTGCATACTCCACTTTTCAGCCCTACCTTTTCCAGGAGATCTATCTAAAAATTAAGACAATTGTGGTGCTGGTTTTCTGCTCAGAGGATACTTTTGTCTCCCTGGCTTTGGAACTGGGTATTGAGACTTGAAGAGTTCTGAGTTTGGCTTGTGTCATTTGCTGCTGTGGCAGGATTAAAGCAAGCATGGACACAATTTTAGAAGTGGCTTCTGATTTTAGATGCTACAGTTTTGAATGTTACTGCTCCAGACATTGCAGTGCCCAAGTGTGTAGTGGGCAAGTTCTGCAGAGGACCTTCCCTGCTGACAGTTTTTGATAACCTCCAAATTGTGAGTTGAAATTTAGTTATTCTTAAAAATGATACAGCAGAATGATAATGTATCCATTGGTGGGACTTTGCATATCTTTTGCCAAACAAGAATGCAGAAAATAGAACCACTGCACCTCATAGCCTGCTGTCATTTTTCTCCTTCCCAGTTTGTGCCCCATTGAGGGGGCACCCCAGCATAATGACTTTTGACAGCTGAAGCCAACTCCAGAGACTGGGAGCTCACAGGACATCTTCAACAGCTGCCTCAGAGCTACTGACTTCAAAAGCAGATGTTTCCCATCACCTCTCCCACCACTCAGGCACCTCTGGTCTCTGAGCTCGTGCTGAGATCCTTTGTGTTCCCAGTGCAGCTGTGCTCTCTAAGCAGAGGCTAAATCTGCCCAGCTGTTGAAGTGGCAGTGATAGCATAGCTTTGTGAGAAATCCATCTGCTTCCAGCAGCATGGCCCAAATTGTTTTCCATGCCTCGAAAGTTCTGGATGAGGTCACATTTGTTCTTTTCCTACTGCCATCAGCAAAGGAAATGAGGGATTGGAAAAAGCTGGCCAGTTTTACAAACAAAGTCTTCTGGTCTGGGGAAGCATTGGGAACTGACCCAAAGAGAGTACAAGAGGAGAGGAGTTATGATTACATTTGCTGCAAAAGTCCTACAAGTTCCTAGAACACAGAGCAAAACAATACAAAAAAATGTGATGGCTTGAAGTTTCATGTGATCATAGGACTGGTGTGTAGCTTGTCTGCCAGACCAGTTTTCTTTGGTTAGAAATGCTTGAGTGCTTCTTACAGACTCTCCTTAGCTGCGAGAATAACTGGTGATCTCCTTACGTTGGCAGTCCGAAGGCACGAGGCTGCAGAAGGACCTCCGCACTTACTTGGCTTCTGTCAAAGGTAAGGTCTGCGCCTGCTGAGGTTTGTTCCCCTCCAGTGCTACCTCCCAGGGAGGTTTCTGCAGCCTTCCCCTCCCTGCTGTTTCCCCAGGCATGAGTTGCAGCTTTGTTAGGGGAGGAATCTTTCAGAGTCCTTTGGGACCAGTGGGGATGGGGCTGTGCTTTGATGCCAAACATCTGGTGGTGTCTTAGCAGATGGACCTCCACATGTTCTAGGGGAGGATGGAAACAAAGGGCTTGATGCAGCTGCACCCTTGTTCCTTTCTCCCTCTGGTTATCTTCCATCTCTGTGTCATCAAGGGTCACACATTTAGTAAGGAAGAGCTCAGCATCTGTTGTAATGCTCCTGTGCCTCTGGGTAAGGGTTAAACTGTGAGGAACACATTATTTTCTTCTTTGTCTGAACAGTTCCCTCTTCTTTCCTAGCTATGCATGAGGCCTCCAAGAAGCTGACAGAATGTTTGCAGGAAGTTTATGAGCCAGATTGGCCTGGGAGAGATGACACAAATAAAATAGCAGAGGTAAGACTTTGTCCAGGATGTGGGGATGTCCAGACTTGCTCTGTCAGCAGAGATGAGCTTTGGAAGCTGTGTCTGTGCACCACATTTCTTCAGGCATAACACTTTGCAGAAGAATTGGAGACAAACACAGCACTGTGAGGAAAGGAAGGCTGGAAGGATGTGCCCTGTATTTTTGTAGGAGATTGTTGCCAAATGCTTGTACATTACACAGAACTGAACACTTATGCCCAGAGGCTGTTTGTTTCCCCTGAGTGGCTAAACGGGGACAGAGGATTCCAACAGAAACTCAGGAGGGCCAGCTGGGTGTACTGCTTATGTTCTGTGTAAGAGAAAGGAGCAGATAAAACCATGGCTAAAGCTCTCAGAGCAGCCAGTTGTGTAGCTGCCACAGCCCCTCATGGCAGCACCACCAGCTGCCTTGTTCCAGTTGCTCCCTTGTTTGGCTGAGCCATGTGTCACCCCCACTGCTGGTGTTGTCATCCCTTGGCAAGGTGATGCCTGTGCAGCTCGCCCAGGTGTTTCCTGTGGAGCTCAGGGCCCAGCCTGGCATTTGGCAGCTTGGATCCCTTGGCCTGTGCCTGGGGTGGGTCCAGCTGGAGGCAGCAGCCTCTGCTGTCTTGCTCAGCTGTTTTGCTGAGCAACAGCTGTTCCTGTTCAGCTCTCTGGATTCATTTGCCATGAGGCTGCAGGACTGGGCTTATCTGCAGCTGTCTGTGCCATTGGAGAAGTGGTGAAGGAATAAATAGGAGAAGGATTCTTTCCTTCTCCTTCTTTCCCCAGCAGAAAATCTCACCTAAAATAACGTCTGTATCTTGCCCAAGAAATAATGACTTCAAAGCAGATAATTCAAACAAAATCTAAACATTTCCAGGTCAAATTTTTCATTAACATGGGAACTTTGCATTAGGAAGTACTGTTGCAGTAAATAATGGAGTTGTATTTCAGCTGATTTGACTTCACAGTCTCTCTTGGCCTTGTTTTTTTCCTGAGCAACTGTGCTGCCTCCTGAGACATTGACCCTTCAGAAAACTTGAGCCAGAGACATCAAAGGGGACATGAATCCTAGAACTAACTGTAGCTACCCTTTGGGTCTGCAAGAATATTTCCAGCTGCACCTTCCCCTTTATATCCTGGTTTATATTTTTCTTATGAAAAGGTGAGAGAGAAGAATTATTCCTGCCAAATAAAAAGCACAAAGGGGGAAGTTTTTCTGAATGTTTTAGCCAAAACCCTTTGTTCATGTGGAAAAACAGGAGAGAGGGTAATTTTCACCTAACCCCAGGTGTTGATAGGAAATTGCTCTGTCTGGGCTAAGGTCAAGGATAAAGTGGGCACAGCTCAAGGTGCAAGCCTTGTCCTCCATTGGGCTGTGGAGGCAGGAGATGTGAGGGCTGAAGATTGATAGTGTAGCTTTCTTTTGTTCATGGTTCTCCGGGAAGCTGTATTGTAATGAATAACAGAAAATGGTGCCCTGTGGTGTCTGGTATCCCTTTTTTGTAGCTGCTGGGAGAAGAAGGCAAAACCAGCTTGGCAATCACCTTCCATTGTAGAGATTTGAGTTTAACATTGCAGGGGAAAGATAGGGCTTCAAATGCATTTTGTCCTTGGAGAGGTCACCAGAATTAGCAGCATCAGACTCTGCCATTTCTGCCAAGATCTCTGTTATCATTAGTTTTCTAAAGAACTTACTGTTTCTTAAGAGCTCTGAATGCCCAAGATTGTTGGCTGTAGCACTCACAGAGAAAAACAGAAATGTGGAGCCCTGTGTTCTTAATAGTTAACTCATTACTTTTGTTTTTCAGAACAATGATCTCCTGTGGACAGATTTCCATCAGAAGCTGGTGGATCAAGCACTTTTGACCATGGATACATACCTTGGCCAATTTCCAGATATTAAAGTAAGATTCTCTTGGAGCTATTTGATCTTGAGACTCGCAGCAGATAAAAGCTCTGAGGATCAATTTCTTGTATCTGCTTTAGGAGAGTGTGTACTGGGCTTCTCCAAGGTCTTCTTTAAAAGCAGCCAAGATCTCTGCAGCTCTGGGTTAATTGAAAATGTCTTGTTCTAGTTTTGGGCTTAAAACAAGAGTGAAGAATCCAGGGGAAAGATGCTGAAGAGAAAATAGGAGTGTGAAACAGGAGGATCCATTAAATTGCCTATTGCATCAGAGTGCAGGGAGGGCAGTGTCAACAACAGCTCAGAAGATCTCAATCTCTTTTTGCCCTTTTGTCTTATAACTTTCTTGTAAGCAGAAAAAATTGAGGAAGCAGTTAGTGCCAAATGTACTTTATGAATAGAGGCTAGTGTGGAAGGCAAATTTCTGTGGGTCCTTGAAGTCTGCTGTGTTTGTACCAAGCTTTTTTCAGGGAAGGGAGAGTGCTGGATAGGTGTCTTTTTGGGAGAGAGTGTATCCAGGGATCAGGGTTTGAATGCTGGCCTGTGACCTTTCCTTCCCCCACAGCTATCTCCTCTCTATTCATTTTGGGGTTTTGCAGGAAATGTCTTCACCATATGGAAGCACAAGTAATGATATCACCTTATGGGAAGTATCAGCTTGGCTCCTTTCCAGTGAGAGCAGCCCTTTCCCCAGCACATGTCTCTTAGAACCTTTGTCAATATTTATTGCTTCAGGAGGACTGTGCTGTATCAGATGGGGGCAGGTCACAGGCTTGTAAAATGAGCCCTGAACAGCAGTGGCCTTGTCTCCTGGGACTCCCTGGGTTTGCTTCATTTTTCCAGCCTGTTCTGCCCCTGGAATTCTGGGGTGGGGAAGGGCTGTGGCTTTCCAGCCCCTGGAGGCTGTAGGGCTGATCTCTCTGGGGTGTGAAGCCTCAGTCAAAGTGCACCCTGTGCTGCTTCCTCAGCTGGATGCCTTACTTTGGGCTTGCTGTAGACTCAGGCTTTGGCACTCCTTTGGTCCAAATCACATTTTATCAGTTGTTGAACATTGCTAGCTACACAGAAGTATAGCTAGGCATAAAGAATTATCGTTCTTGAGATTTGCAGGCAAAAAAAAAAAAAAATTCCCTGTCTCATGTCATTTACAGAATATTTGAGTTGTTTTTTGTTGTTGTGGTATTAGTTTTCTGGTTTTTGTTTTCCACAAAATGAAATTTTCTGCTTTTCCTGGAATTCTGGCATGACTCTGGTAAAATGAGTTGATTAATGGAGAGAATATGATTTTAATTTTATTGTGAAAAGGCCTGTTTTTGTTAATAGCCTAGTAATTAAAATGTGTGATGAGTTAGATCATGCATGTGTTATTTTTTGTTACGTTCTAGCATGTTCTCAATCAATCTTTACTTGAGGGGGTGTAAAAATTCCCTTGGACTTTGTGGACTTGAAAAGGGATCCACAGCAGGAATGTGAAAACAGAGCATGCCTTTAGTAAGGAATTTTTGTGTGTTAAAGAAAATAATTTATCCAATGTTGGGTGTTAACCCCTGAACAAGGCCTCTATATCTTCTCTAACTTGAAAAAGTGCTTTAAACTTTCTTTGCAGATCAGTGTCTTTACTTCTTGGAGTAGGACTCTCTTGCATAACATTTAATATTTGAGTGAGTTTTTTGTTGGTTCTGCACAACATGCAGTAATAGTACAGGTCTCTGCAGTGACCCCAGAGAAGATAAATTACAGCCCAAGTTCTGAATAGCTGTGGAATTGGGGACGTTCTGTCTAGCACTAAAACTGGTGCTCTATTAGCTGTAAAACCAAACATCAGTAGAGAAGGACGTGGAAGGCAGAAGTTTTTTGTGGTGGCTTGGGTTTGTTAATTTGAGCCTCCTTAAAAAAAAAAAAAGGATTTGTTGCAAAGTAATGAAGTCTGCTGGAGTTCAGCTGTTACATTTGGATGATGGGGGTCCCTGCAGCTGTCCTGGAGTCATACAAGGGAGCCCTGAGCCTTCCTAACAATCCTGTTAGTGCCACTTCTAACAGGCAGTGGTATGCTCAGTGGTTACTCCAGGAGGGCTCACACCCTGTGTGTCTGTACCTTGCAGCATTTCCCTGTACTCCAGCAGAAACAGGGGGGTGGGTGTTAGAACTTTGGGAGCTGCATAAACATGGAGGGGTGACTTTGTTTGAAAGATGGGTGACATTGAATCAAACTTCCTGGTGGGTAGCCTGAAAACTGAAGTGTCTATGTGGCCATATCAGAGGTGGTGAGAACTCCAGCTGACCCGGGGGCAAAGTGGTATCTTAAATCCCAGATGGGGTCATGTTTCCTCTGGTCTGTTTGTAAGGTGCATTAACTTGCATCTCAGGTTGCTCTGCAGCTGGAAGCCCCCTCCAATACCTTGTCTCCTGGCTGGCACTGTGGTGTTTGGGAGGTGTCTCCTAGTGACCTCAGCTCTGGGGTGGCTCAGCTTCTTCGTGACTCCTCTCTTGGAGTGAGCTGAGCATTTAGAGGAGAGTTTGGGAGTGCATGTGGCTGAGATCCTGCAGCTCTGCTGTGACTCACCCAGAGCTGCAGCAGTGTTTGCTGGAGGAGCAGAGCAGTATGTGTGGGAGGTGTGTGAGCTGCTCTGGCACAGATCAGCCCTGAGCATGGCTCTGCAGCGTATCTGCGGGAGCCTGGGGAGAGGAAACCACAGCTCCCTGCCAAGGCAGGACAGAAGGAGATTCTGCTTTTGCAAGTAAATCCCAGTGCTGATTCCTCGTTCTGCACTGTGTCCCTGGGTTTTGTGGTTAATTAGAAATGCTCCTGGCTCTTTGCCATGCCTTTTCTCTCTGTTATCCAGCCTGTCTCTGGGCTGCTGATTACTGACGCTGGTCCAGGCTCTCTGATCCAGGGGGAAGTGTTATGGTAAGGTTGGGATGGTGTGTGCTCCAACCCAGATAGTCTGGGGTGCTTGCAGACAGTGTGGGAGGCAAGGGGCTGAGGGATGGAGAGTTCCTAAAATAGGGAAACCCGGTGGGCCAGAGCCTCAATAAAGTGCAACTCTGCTGAGAGAGAGAGCCTTGGGCTCCTCACTTCCACACAGGATCAGGCCACAGGCCTGACTGTCTGTCCTGGATTCTCAACCATGGATTTGTCAGGACTCCATTCCTAAATTTAAGTCTGGTACACAGTCAGCACTCTTGTTGTATTTATTTTGGCTTTAGTGTTGTGTGTTGGTGACCCAGGGCTGCAGGTTTTCCCTTGCACTTCCCTTGTTTGAATGCTGGTGACAGCAACCTCTGCCTTTGGCAGTCACCACCGTCTGCAGCTTCTGTCACAGGGTCCAAAAGGTTGTCCATGGCATAGCCTGAGCATGTGGATGAGTGCTTTAGCTGTGCTGGCAGCAGAAATGCCTTCTTTTGTTGAACTTAATCTCTCAGGCTTCCACACAAACTAGTGAGCTGGTTAGTTAGAGATTGGCTGCAGGCCTCAGGAAGCCCTGAAAATAATGAAGGATGTAGGATGCAGGCCCATGGTGGGGCTTAGGAGGCAGTGGAGCTAAAGCTCTGAAAACACCCATGTGAGCCAGAGGTGGGGCCTGTTGGTGGATCCCTTCATCTCCCCTTGATGGCTCCTCTCTCCTCCTGAGGTGCTCCCTCTGAAATGGTGCTTGCCACAGTGGCTCCCGGGGCCTCCTCCTGTGTGGAGGATCCAGGGAGAGTCCTTGTGTGGGCAGAGTGTGGGGTGTTCTGGAGGTTGGGAGGGTGTTTTCCCTGGGAGGCTTTGCAGTTTAGGCTGCTGGGGAGGATTGATGTGACTCTTTTCTCCATGTTTCTAGTCTCGTATCGCCAAGCGAGGAAGGAAGCTTGTGGATTACGACAGTGCCAGGCACCACTTTGAAGCCCTGCAAACTGCAAAGAAGAAGGATGAAACCAAAATTGCAAAGGTAAAGGAATCAGGAGGATATGCAGCCTTCCTTTCTTTTTGGGAGCTCTCCATTTGCCAGCTGTACCTGTTCATTGTGTTTTCATAGAATTCATTCGTTTTGGCAAGGACCTTTAAGATCATTAGGGTGTTGTGAACTGGTGACATTTTGCTAGGTATTTCCTTCTCATTTGTTTAGCTTTCCTGGAATCAGGATGACCTCTGGGTTGGTTCAGTCCCACTATCATCAGTCTGCATGTCTTGGTGGCCAAATGCTTGGGCATGGTTTTGTCATATGCACAGGACCAGTAACCTCTGGCAGAAAAGCCTGTGTGCCCCTTGGGGAAGTAAAATCTTGCAGTGCTCCAGAAAAATGTTACAATTTGTCTGCTTCTTGGGACTTTCTCCCCATCCTAGAGCAGTGATAAGAATGTTTCAGTGTTATTTGAAGTTTGGTTGTGTTTGCGAAGCCCTCTGATATCCTAGCAGAGAGACCCTTAGGAGTGTGAATTACAAGTACATTGATGGGAAAAGCACTCTGTGCACACTTGATGAATGCATTCTATTGTCTGTTGGTTGCAATTACTGCATAATAAATATGGCTGACAGCAGAAAAATAAGAGTTTTTTCTTGTCAGGTTTCTTTCCTGCCTGTGAATAGCTTGATCCAGGGCTTGCCCAATAGTCAAGTGAAGGATTTTATTTTTAATGAGATTTATTTTAATTAAAAGTAAAGTTTACTTTTTTTTAATGTAGCTGAAAAAAGGTAATAGTGCTAATTTTGTTCTAGAGAAGGTGCATGGATTGAATACTGTCCCTAAAATGAGCTATGGATTCCTCTTATACCCGAAGTGTATTTGAACCCATGTGCTTCCTTCCACAGGACACTTCTTGACACAACAGAATAGTCCAGGGCTGGGGAGACATCTTTTATTCTCTTCAGTGTGGGCCATGGTAAATTGTGACTCCTCAGGGTAGAAGCAGTAGAGGAAAGAAAGACCCTGGATCTGTATCTTTTAACCAGGCTGACAAGAGTTGTCATCTTTTGCTTAGGGTTTTCTGGTAGGGGGGAATATGAGCTAGGTAAGAGATGCTGGTGTTTTTCCTGCATAGGAGAAATTAAGATGCATCCCTGCTCTGAGTGAAAGATGTGCATTTAGAGGCCACAGTACTTTTATTGTTAAGCTGCAAGTCATCAGTCATCTACAGTGCACTGCATGCACTGTGATTAACCCTGACAGACAAAAGGGGAGAGAGATTGATGGCCCAAGTGTCATTGCATCACTTGTGTGGCAAAGCAAGTCTTGATTCTGTATGCAAGGCATGAGGCCCAACTGGTTATGCCTTCAGTTCAAAGCAGTAATTCATTGTGTCTGGGGCAGGAGCAGAATTTCCCTGGGGCATGTTATTTTATTGGTGCATGCCAGTGGGATCTTTGCTGCAGTATAAGATAAAGCCAAATGGTTTTGTAGGAATTGATCTACTCAGGTTGGTTGCTACCTGGTGCTCTGCAGCAGAGTTTAGCTGCCTTTATCACTGCTGCAGTCACTGTTGCCCCAAATGTTCAGCTACGGTGATAAAACAGGTATGGAAAAAAGTTTGAAGAGTGAAGTATTGAGAGTTAGGGGTTGGTGCTTTATTCATGATTTAGCCTGTGAAAGGGTCTCTCAGTATCTGTTCAAACTCTTCTCATCAGCCAAAGTGTGCACTGGATCAGATCTTTCCACCCTCTGGATCAGATCTTTCCACCCTCTGGAATTCAGGCCATAAGCTTATGCCCAGGATAATAGGTGACACATTGCACTGTGCTGATCCTGCAAAGATGGGAGCAGCAAGTCCCAAAGATGAGAGTTATGTGTGTGTGGCCTTCCCAAGGGGGCAGCTCTCACTGCCCAGCCTGGGATCTGGCATTTGCAGTCACACAGCTCTGCAGGGCTGTGGGCAGCAGCCAGGGCTCAGTGTGCACTCAGCTGCTGGAGGTAGTTCACCTCTGTTTCTGTGCCTGGAGTTGTGCTCCGGTGACCTTTGAAGTAGGGTTGTTCCAGTGAAAGTTACTTTGGAATGTGATGACAGACCCCTAGGAGAGGGAACTCATGTTTCTGACACAGGATGCAAGTGGGAACTGACTTAATTAAGGTTTCATGGTATAGTAACAGAAACAGCAGTGCAGATATTTTTGGCATTACGTGGTCTCTTTTATTCTTCTCTAATATATGGATGTTCTTTTCCCACCCAGGACCCCTGCCACTTATTGCTAAACTTACATCCTGCTATTAAAATAAATCACTGTGGACTTTCAGCTGTTGCATGCAAATAATTATGATGATTAATTAATCCTGACCTCTCTTTAAGGAGCTCCAACTTCACAGCCATGCCTTGGAGTAGGGTTGTCTGTGTGCTAGGTCACTAACAACTGTATCTGTTGCTCTTACAGCTGCCTGGCTGGTCTGCAGTATCCAGCCCACATGGGGACATTAATTACTGCTAAACTTGGCATGCTTCAAAGGATTCATAACTGATCAGTCCCGGGATGTTTTTTTTTTCCTCTCACCTTGGTGATACTGGTTTGGCCCAGCCTCTAAATACACACTCTGTTGTGATTTTAATTTTTTGATCCTAAAAGATATATGTTTGTGTCTCTCTTGTTCTCTGTTTATTTGTTTTTCTTTTTTTTCCCACTCAAACATGCTCCCTCCCCCAGCCTGTTTCGCTGCTTGAGAAAGCTGCGCCTCAGTGGTGTCAAGGGAAGCTACAAGCTCACCTCGTTGCACAAACTAATCTGCTCCGAAATCAGGTGACTGCTGATCTACCTGGCTCTAACCCTGCATGTGCTATTTTGGGCTCTAGATTGTACCCTGCAAGTAATCTCTAGGCAACGTTCACTCTAGTCCTCTCTGATCAGTGTGTCCTTGACACTCCTTAGCCACCGTGGGCACGGGGAAGTTGCTGACCAATGAATGAATCTGTGGCTGCCTGACTGATTTCTAGTCAGATGTGTTAATACTGGGCTGTTTTCTCCCCCTGAGATGAAATGCAGATGAAGAAAGGCTATGGAATAACTGAGGCAGAGGGTGATGTATTACACAGCTCCTCCAATTACTGCTTCCATTTTGTGCTAAGAGAAGCAGTCAGTTTTTATTGTTGCCGTTTCAAAAAAAATAGATAAAAGGAAATGCTAAAAAATTGGCCTATGGATTCGTGTCATTGAGTAAAGCCACAAAAAAATAACATTGTGATTTCTGTGGCTGCTGAGTTAGCTTGCAACATTCTCCTGTGATATTCCCACATGAGCACTGTCCTGGCTGTTGTGGTTTAAAAAAGCCATTTTTAGATACAATTTCAATCTGCACAGGAGAGGAGATGGGCCCAGATCAGGCAATTTGTACCCTGTGTGACATATTTGAACAGGCTGAGATCAAGGTGGTGTCATCTAGCAGAATGTAGGTTATAGCACCTTGAGAGACATGAGCAGCTCAGAGGAACTGCAGGGAAGAAAAATTTCAATTTTTCAATCAAAATTTCAGAAATTTTTCAAAATTTCTCCTACTTGCATACAAGTGTGACTTTCTGATGAAATCTTGATCAGTCTTTCAGTTGGAACACCTTAAGGGACAAGAGGGAGTTGTCAGAAGACAGTCAGTGAGAAGAAAATGCTTTCAATGAGCAAGGGATAATAAATCCTTACCAGACTGGGAGAGAGCACCAGTTACCTGCTCACAAGTTCCTGGTGACCTCTTGTTTTCTCATTCAAATGCTTCTGTGTTTTCACATTCCTTGTCCATGGAATGAATTGCAGTTTAGAAATGCCTCTCACCTTATGAAGCCCCTGGGTTTTCACAGTCACTTTATGACTTTGGATCAGGGAAAAGACTCCATTACCACATCAGTAAAGCTTGGGAAAAGAACAGCTGTTAGCAGCCCTGCTTAAGATGCAGAGCAAAGGGAGGAAATATGTATTCACTCTTGATTGAAGGGAGAAGGACACATGGCAGCCTCCTAGGGGCTTTTCCTGTGCCTCTGCTGGCCCAGCTGGGAGCTACCTGCACAGTTGGGGTTCTTGACTGGTCTGTTTGACTGATGGTTTTTCTGGAGGACCAGAAAACAGGTATGGGAAGTTCCTCAAGTCACAAATAAATATATGAATCTATCAGCTCTTGGGCATTTTTCCTCTTCTCAGGCTTGGCTGTGGTGACTGCTACAATAGCAGCAAGCACAGACTGCCCAGAGAGGAAGTTCCTATGAGTGCCCCCTCACCCATTGCCCATGGATCTTAGGATACCAAGAGTCACTCCATAATTTCACTCTTCTGGGTCACTTTGCCCTACAGCACATGCAAGGGACTGTGTAATCTTTCCAGGCACTGTGCTGCGGGGGCGTTAATCTCCCAGTACATGGCATTAATATATTCAGTGACCACAGATATTTTCAAAACACTCCCTTTTATTCCTCTGCTGAGTAATGCTATTGCCAACCCTAATTTTTTTTTCTATTTGTGTAAGCATTTGGGTTTTTTTTCTTTGCTTTTTTCTTTATTTTAGTTTTACTTTTGGTTGGAGACTAACCAAAAAAAAACCCTTAACAAAGAACATTAGTTGTATTCTTAACCTGTAGGTTTTCCAGCTTGCCTTCACAAAAATGAGTCAGTAGGAAGAAAAGGCTTCAGTTTTCACATTTGTGTGATTTCAAGACTGAAGGTGTTAATGACAGGCCTAAATCTCATCAACCTCTTGTTAAAACCAGGAAGGCTGATGACGCTGGATTTATTGAGAAGCTTCAGAATGTTAAGCCTAAAAAAAGTCTCCTTTTACCAGCAGCTGTGTTGCTGTCTCTTCTTGCCTGATACTTTTACAGCTTCCATGCAAAAATGGGGTCAGTGATATCTGGTGTTTCTACTGTAAAGCAGAGTCCTTCCCTCCCGTGTGCAAACTTCTGGCTCTTTAGGCCTTTAGCAGATAAAAACAAAAACAACACAGTGGGGATTTTTTGTGAAGTCTGCTGTGGGAGTTGCTATTGCACACTCCCAGTTAGAAATGTCAGTGACTGTGCTTTTTGAAACAGAGGAAAATGGCTTAGAACAGCACATTCTTGCCTTTTGACTAAGCTCTGCTGACATGTTTAATGCAGACTAAAAAGCAACATCCCAGTGATAACAGAACAATATCTCTGTCTGCAGGAAAAGGTGAGCAAGTTGAGTCTTTCTGAGAGGCAGGTCTGGTTGGGACTGGTAGGGCCTGGGCCTGGAGGGAATCCTCCTGCTCCCCTCCTTATCCCTGCCTCTTGGATGATATCTAAACTATACTGAGCAGTGCCTAATTACCACCGTTCACAACATAGTCTTTGAAGTGAAATGGTCACCAGACTGCCTGGAAGCACCAGGCTGGACATAACCAGACACTCAGGAGGGCTGGGATGTAGCAAAATCAGTGGTAGTAGCATAAAGAGTGTGGAAAAATTGTCCCCTGCCACAACTGAACTGGTTGTGCTTGGCACTCTGAGCTTTGGCTAGGTGGAAGGTCAGGAAAGTATTTGTTGTCTATCTCCTGCTCAAACCTTCCCCCTTTCAGGCAGGGAGAGGAGAGAAAGATTTTGTGAGATCCTGTTTCCTGTTTTTTCTCTAGAAGGGCTTGTGACCAGGCTGATGTCTGGCTTTGGCTCTGGCTGGAAGCAGTCAGGGCTATCAAGTGCCAGGATTCCAGCTTCCAAGCAAAATAAATCCCACTGGTGAGAAGATCCCTGGGTAGACTAAGGACTGAAGAATTGTTTCAATGCTCTAGCTGGGGATGAGAGCACTAGCTGAGCCACAGCCCTGCTGGATGGATCCCTGATTCCTACAACTGCTTTAGAGTGAACGTTGCCTGTTCCTGGCTTTGCCTTTGCCTTGGGATGTCACAATATTCACACCTTGCTTTCTAGGTTCTTTGACCTTATACACAAGTAAATGGGAGAGGGAAAGAATGTTAATGATAATCACCACATCTGAAAAACTAACAGCATTCAATGGTATCACATCATCTCCTGGGTTGATTCTGGTTCAAGCATAGTTTGGAAGTTAGAAAAATATAAAGCCAAAGGGTGGACTTGTTGTTTTTTTTATTTTTTTACTCCCTTTAAAATGGTTGCATTAGTAGCATTCATTCATAAAGGTGTTCTAAGGTAGAATGAGTCTTTGTGATCATTGTCTCTCATTCAGCATAAACTGTGTCTATGTTTAAAAGACTTTTTGTTTGTTTTGTGCAAACCCTCTTGAAATGTTGAGTTTTTCAGTGAGTGTAGCAGCGAAACAGGGGTTTCTGGGTGGAAGCACCATGACCCCTTCTCCCCTTGCCTGTTCCTCACCAGGTCTCAATTTCTGAATACTCCCCAGATGTGTCTTTTTACAGGGGAATATTTTCCCCCTGGTCTTGAGTACCGAGCCTTAGCCTTGCCTCTGGCAGCAATGAGCTACCCTGTGACAGGTGAAGCTAGCTGGAAAGTAGGAGCTCCTGTGGTTTGCTCTTGAGTCAGGAGAGAAATGGAGAGTGAAGGGATCCTGCTCTATATAATGGAGAGTGATTCCTGTGAGGAACAGGATTCAGAACTGCAAAATATTTTTAAGCCCTTTCTCCCATCATTCCTGTTGTTGTATATAACTGTCACTAAGGAGCAGTAAGCTGGATTTCTTTAATTAAGCTGACACAAAGAAGATAAAATTTGATTTCGTAGAAGGTGTAGGAATCTGACTGCAGGCTGGTAGGGAGATCCAGCTTCCATAGCTTGTGGGCTCTTTGCAGAGTCCTGTGGTGTTGTGAAATTCCTGCTGTTGTCACAAATAAAGGCACTTGTGCTGACCTTCCAAATTTGGTCATGCAGGGTTTTTTTCCATTCTACATCTCACTGCATGGCAGAATGCTGTGCTGCTATAGATTACAGGATAGAAATATTTTAATTAGAAAACTTCAGATCAAGGCACTGAAAAGAGAAAGAGGTGACCTAGGGCAGATGTAGGAAAGGGCATATGGTTGTTGCTGGTGTCTGCTGTCAGCAAAAGAAACCAGGAGTATCCTTTTTGTTGCTGAAACCTGACAGAATTGTCCATCAGTGTTGGGATCTGTCAGTGTCTGGGTCCAATGAACAGATCAAATTTAAACTCTCATCTGGGAGAAGGAGATCCCTTCTGGAGCTGGGGCCGACAGCCAGCCGGGGATTGCGCTTGTGTGAGACCATGGAAACCAGGATGTGCTGCTGAAGCCCTGCAGCCTGGCCTCCCTCTGGCACAACTCATGCTTTGCATACCCTTCCTTGCTTCTCCAGTCAGCTTTGTGGGAGAGCTGTATCAGCCAAGGATGCAGATCTCCTCTCTTCCTCAAGGAGATGGGACTTTGGCATGACCTGACCTTAGCAGAGAGTCCCCAAGAGGGAGGATTCTTTTCTAAAGCCATTTGGGATGAATTTCAACTCTTTCTGAGATCTGGCAAGGGACAGAGGCCCTATTACCTTCATCTGTATCCAAGCTGGAGGCTGAACTCCCATACCAACTCCTTTCAGTTTTTGAAGTCAGGGAAATTTAAAGAACTTGAAACACATTAGTGGTTGTTTGAATTACTTGCTGTGTGTATAAATGGGGAAATGCATTGAGAGAACCTGAGAGGAGCACATTTAACCTAAAGGGTCACCTGTGGTGAAGCCCTGGTTCCTGGGAGACTCATTTGGGATGCTGGTTACCTCATGCCAGAATTTTGCCTGGTCTCCCAAAGAAGTGAAAAGAGTCTCAGCTGTTCCAGCCCTGCAGGCTGCTTGGCTGTGCTGGAGCTGACAATTTCCTTTCTCTGTTGCTAAGGCTGAAGAAGAGTTGGTAAAGGCTCAGAAGGTGTTTGAAGAGATGAATGTTGATCTGCAGGAGGAACTGCCTTCACTATGGAATAGGTGAGTGCTGGAAGTTTTCCCAAGGGCTGGTTGGAAGGAAATGAATATCCAAGTTCTTGGATTGCAGTTCTTCTTAGCCTAGACTGGGTGTCTGCTCTTTTTTTTTTTTTCTGGATTGTCCCTGTCTGTCCTAGGATTCCCCCCAGCCACAGGTTCACTCTTGTGTTTTACTTCATGATTTTCCTGAAAAACATGATTTTACCACAAAGAGAAACTGTATTTCTCTGCTTTGTCTGCTTAATCCCTTTGCCCTACTGCTGTATTGCCCTAAACAGTTTATTTAGTTGTTGTTTTGCACAGAGTTATTAGAGATTTGCACAGAATAGTCTTTATATTGCACCTTACCAACTCTGCTCCGCTTTCTTGAAAGACCTGAAAGAGCATGGGTTTGCCATACAGAGATTGTGGTGAGGAAAAGGGAGGTGAAGCAAAGACCAACATTTAGCTTGTGGGATGAACTGCAGGGCAGCAGAAGCTGATTTATGGAGATGACACAGTGGAAAACTGGCAAAATCTTCCTAGCAGTGTCCCAGCTTCTTATTTTTAAATGCAGTGGTCATGTCCAGGCTGACAGTGCTGCTCTGTGAGGATTGAGAAAGTGGGCAGCAGCAGGGTGGGAAAGCAGAGTGCTGATGTGTGCCTTCACTCCCCTTTCCACCAGCCTGGGCCAGGACTTGTGCTCACAGCAGCCTGCAGGGCTGGCTGGGGAAGGAGCTGGGAGGGACAGAGGCATCTGGGGGTTCCCTGGTGCTGCTGGCCTGGGACAGCCTCTCCTGTCCCTCCTGCTGTTGCTCCTTTGCCTGGGTGCTGGTGGAGCACTCTCTGTTGGCAGCTGGCAGGCTGGTGACAGGCAGCTGCTGGCATTTTAAGGCCCCACAGGTTTTTCACAGACTCCTGCTTCCCAGCTGATCCTTCTGCTTCCCTGTTGCTCTCTGTGCTATCCTTTGCTTTCTTACACTTTCTGTCCCTGAAGCAAATAGTTCATGCTGTTTTTGATTTCCTGGTGCTAAGGGACTTCTGGATGAATTAAAATCTGTCCCCTGCTAATTCTCCCAGCACTTTCTGCATCACAGCCTCTATCCTTTTTTTTTTTTCCATCTTCCTACTGCTGGTGCTTTTTTTTATTAACCTTCTTTTGTATTTTTTATTTTTTTCCTGCCCACCCTATACCTCCCTCTCCCTTCAGTCAGCATAAATTCAGACCCTGTCCTACTCAGTCTCTTCTTCCCTCTGGACATGTTTGTCCTGTGCCTGGCTTTTGCTCCATGGTTCCATTTCCTTGCCACTCTATCTTCTCACATGTACCGTATCTGAATTGAGTTTGCATGGGAATGGTGGGTGGGAGGTAGCAGAAATGGCAGGATTGAAAGATTTTAAGAGAGCACTGTGTCCATTAAGTTCTTCTGTCTTGTTTTTCATTTGGCAGTCGTGTTGGTTTCTATGTCAACACATTCCAGAGTATAGCTGGCCTAGAAGAGAACTTCCATAAAGAAATGAGCAAGGTAAGGCAACCAACAGCTTATACTACTTACAGTCTCTTCACTGTTAATGAAAGAAAAACGAAACCCAAGAGCCAGTAAACAAATTCAAACAAAACCAAAGAAAAAACAAACAAACAAACAAAAAAACCCCAAAACCTCAAGCTAAAACACAGTTGTAGAAAATGGCCCTATGTTGGAGCATAATAAAAACCCTTAGTATTTTTCTGAGCAACCTGGGACAAAGGCAGTCTGACACAGTAATGTAAAGGGATGGAGCACAGGGAAGAGACTGCTGGGCTGTGGGCAGCAGTGGGGAGTTATGTTCTTGTTCTTTCAGTGAAGAGCAGAGAAATCCTGAATTCCTTAGGTCTGCATGCTGCTTGGAAATGTAAATGTTGCACTAATCTTGAGGCAGGAGTGAGAGCCCAGATGGAAAACCCTTATATTCCCTGTGCTCCCTAATGTCATCCTGACAACAAAACAGCCACTAAGCAACAGGAAACATTATAGTCCTTCAATTCCCAGCAGTCAGGGGGCCTCTGCCTTGGTGTAACACATCAATTTTGAGCCCTGGTGACATTTTATGGGGTCTTTTCCAGTTAATAGCCTGCTCTTCTCCACTGAGGGATGAACTAAGTGTTAAGAATAGGGAGGATTGTTAGAATTACTGGTTTGTTGCTGCTAGCTCACATTCAACAAAACATGGGAAAGATGCTTGTTAGACAGGAATTCTCTTCTTCTATGATTTTTCTAGTCAGGATATTTTCTTTCTTGAGGAATTTTGTATGAGGGCAGGGCTTTTGCTTTGGTTCCATAAGAACCATCTGTTTATTATTACTGCTACAGCTTCCAATTAATTGCTGGTGTTGCCTGCACACTGCCTCTAACCTTGATTTCATGGGATCCCTCCTCCTGCCAGTGATAAATCCAACATCTTGTCTCGTTCATGGATTGGCTGTTCCAGGATAGGAGTGTCTGGAGTGATTGCTGCAGCCTTCAGTTCCAGGGAGAGTTTAACCCCTAATAGTGCATTTCTGCAAAGACATCCAGGTTCTGCCCAGGCTTAGATGGCCCAGGCAGCTGGTGAAGTTGAAGGTTGTTCATGGAAATGGCCATGTCCCAAGCTTTGGTGAGCAGGCCTGAGAAACAGCTTTTGGCTACTTTTGGCTACAAATCCTGAGTGAAGCTCCAGCTGTTGCACACAGATCTTAGGTAAACAATCCACCCGCTTCTGCAGTGGTGCCTGGCAGCACTCTGGTGGGCCCAGGTGATAGGGAAGCAAGGAGGATGATCTCTAAGGAAGACAGAGCATTCCCAGAAATGCCAGCAGCTCTTTGACAGCTCAAGTGCTGTAGCACTGCACAGCCCACAGAGAAGTGGAAACAGATTTAGCGTTGTCCTCTCTTGGGATAGCTGAGGAGCTGTGCATGTCCTGCCACAAGCTTGTGTTTGGTCAGTCTGTGCAGGCCAGCCCAGGCTCTCCTCTGGCATCTGAGGTCCTTTCTCATTCTTTTTCTGTCTTTTGTTTTTGTATTTTGCAGTTGAACCAAAATCTTCATGATGTCCTGCTGGGTCTAGACAAGCAGTACTCAGGCAATGCCTTCCCTGTTAAAGCACAGCCCAGGTCAGTAACTGTGGGTAGTGGCTTTCCCTCAGCAGGGGAGGTGGGACAGGGACCTCTCTACCTACCCAGGGGTGTTGAAATCTCCAAGCTGTCAGTTGCAAGTGATTTGCCCACCTGCCAGTGCCCTCCTGAGACTTCCTAGAGCCATGCCCAAGATTGCACTTGGCACTGCATGGTGCAATCCAATACCTCTTACCTTTCTAGGATAGCATCTGGAGGCCTGAACGTTCACTAGGTCCTGATATTTAGGCAACTGACTCTCAGCTCTGCTTTTAAAATCTAATTCCAGTTACTGAGCTGCCCTTCCTTCTGGGCTCAGTTGCCCAGCACCTGTCCTGTTCTTTCCCTCAAAAGCTCCTGCCATGTACCTGCAGCTTCAGCACCAAGAGCCCATTTCCCCAACCCCTTCTTTGGCCCTCCAAACCTGGAATCACCATTTTGCCAGAGCCTTATGCCCATCCTGTGTACCCAGCTGCAGTGTGTTTCTCCTTCCTGTGCTGTGGAAGTAGTTGCAGCATCACTCATGGGAGGCCTCCTGAACTCAGAGCACTTCCAATCCGTGTGTGTGCAAGGAGTGAGCGTCCTCTGGGCCTTCAGTTTGCTTTCCTCAGCTGGGTCCTGTTCTGTGTCTTTAAGTGCAACTCTGCACATTCCCTAGCACTGAGGAGGGAGGGAGGGGTTGGGCTCTGGATTGGGCTGACTGGCTCCCATCCAAGTGCACCAGTGATGAAATAGTGTTGGGCTCTGGCTTCCAGCTGCTGCTAATCCCACGTGCTGGGTGAGCAGCAGCACAGCCCAGGTCCTCAACTGCTGTGTTGATGGAGGGAGGTGGTGAAGTCAGCATGAAGTAAGGTCAAGCTGTGGTCTGAGTGCATTGGTTTAGAAGGGATAGATCAGCTGTTGAGACCTCAGTGCTCCCTTGTGTCTCCTCCCAGTTTAACCTGTTTCAGTCATGAATTGATGACATGCATGTCTTTTCCCAGCAATTCTTCCAGTGTGGTGGTTGCCAACTCTAAAGAAAGAGGAGGTTTGGGTTGAATTTTGGCCCCTGAATTCTGGATTGCTGACAGCAGATTTCAGTGATGCCAGTTGGAATGCTACTTGGGAAAATGTCTTCTTCCCAAATTACCATGTGGTGTCTGTTGATTGTCATGACCCAACCAGACCGAAACCTTGTGAGGAGGTTGTGGTGCCCATCCTCTTGCTGCCATGGGCTGTGATGTCTCTGTTAGCAGCATCCTCCAGGGTCCCTGGAGGAGGATGAGATAACAGGACAGGTGAAGGCTGTACTATTGCTTTGCCCAGCTTCTTTTTCCTCCTTTTTGTATTCCTTGAGGAACTGATTGTAGGCAGTAGTAGCAACTGGCTCAGAGATGTTCCTTGCTGTTCTGGCAAAGTTTCTGGCCTTAAAGAGCTTTCAATGAACAAATTACCTGTTTTTACAATTCCTGGCCCATCTCTGTACAATTTCTGCCCCCCTCTCCCCTCAGCCTGCTAGCTTGCTCTGGGGCTGTAGTGGGTATCTCAGCTGCAGTTCTGTGCCCTTTGGCTGGCTAGGAGACCACGTGGCCCTAAAACCCAAAGCTTAGTGCACGCACAAGGGTCCTTGTGTGGGCAGCAGTCTGAGAGCTGCTGCTTCATCACCCACTCTCTGCATCTCAGCTGAGGAGCCAGACCTGCCCCAGAGTGAATCTCTTCCTCCTGAGCACACTGGAGCAGGGTGTTGTAGGAGGATGTAGCAAAGATTTGCCGTCTCTTCAGTGACCAGGAACTGCTGTGAGGCACTTCTGTCTGCTGCACATCTGACCTCTCCTTGTGGGGCAGGGCTGGGGTGAGAGTGTGCAGGAGGAAATAGCCCTCACTCATCTGACAGCTTATTCTGGTCTGCAGTAGGAGCAGATGCTTCCCTAACCCTTTTCTACTGGGAAGGGGACTGGAGATGGATACAATGGCAGGAAATGAATGAGGAGGTGTGAGAAGAGAGGCAGTTATCTGTGCACATCATTGTGGCATTCATGTGAGGTCCTACACAAATACTGCTGTGGCTGATGTGTCTGGAGCTGGCAGTGTAGCACAGTAGCACAGAACAGCTGGTGTATTTCTGGGAACCTCAGACCTATGTTTGGGATTTGCTTCTGAAAGAGGTAGGAATGTTCAGGGCTCAGATGCCTAGAAGACCGAGGAGATCTGTGGGATTATCCTCATGTGATTGGGCAAACTGGAAAAAGACATGGCAGGAAAGCTGCTGAGTAGGTTCCATGTATCAGACTGCACAGACTACATAAGAAAAGAAGAATGGGGAGCTTATTTCTTTTGCAGCAATATTCACAGGGGACAGTGAGGAGCTGTGAAAGGATATTTACAGTACTCTGGTGGTCTGTACAGTTTCCTTTTTCTTCTTCTCCATTTGCACCCTGGCCCCATATTCCAAAGTGCAGGGAAAGTTTTAGTTTACTTATATAGATAGATATATATGCATATCTTTGACAGGCATAAAGAACCTTCTTCTGCTTTCTCTAGACCAGGCCATAGCTTTCTAGTAATGAAGGGAAGTGTGTCTGTGTGTACTCGTGTGTGTGTGTGTGAGAGAGAGAGGAGATCCTGTCATCTTAATTACAGTGAGTTTGGTGGCACCAACTAAATGGGTACTTGGAAGCTAAACTTTTCCTCCCTGGTTTGACTGTGCCATCCTGTAACTGAAATGATTTGCGTGCCATCCTCAACAGAAAGAAAACTAAACTGTTCGCCAGGCTGAGGAAAAAGATGAGCAGGTACCGGTATGGAGAGCAGCATTTCGATACGTGTTTCATTGAGCTCCTAAAACTGGAGAGGCTGTTGCTGGACTCTAACAGCCTGGCACGTGTTAACCCTGTGGTGGGAGAGGGGTCCTGTGCATGATAAGATGTGTTTGTGGCCTGCTGGGTCCTGCTGAGATCTTTCTGTGTCTGGATAATCCCATTAACTGCTTGTGTGCCTGGTTTGAATCCTTGCTTCTTTTCCTATCTAAGAAGGCCGTGTGAAAACTCAGGCATTGTCTGTCCAGTTGTTTTTGTGTGATGGAAAATGCAGTGCTGGGTTTTCCATGGGAAGTATAATTGATTTTGGTGTTTTAACAGCTTCTAGTTTTACCTAGTGGGCTTGTCCTTTTGACCAGGTCTGAAATGCTGCATTCTCATCCCCTGCCTAGCCAGGGAGGACCAGTAGGCAGGTCTTTCACACTGAGAAGTCCTATCCTATCTACCTGTTGCAATTGGGAGAAGGATACTTCCAGCTTTGCTCTTTGCTTGCTCTGTTCTTGAGGATCCTCACTATCTTGCTCCATCCATGTAAGATTTTGTGCAGGACTGGAGAAATAGGAAGAACCTTGTCTTGTATAAAGACTAGTATCTGCATCTTGCCTTTAAAACAGTGATGGCATTGATTTTCTGGATTGCTACAATGCCTGGAGTTACCATAGGTCAAGGACTCTGACAAGAACATGCTCTGGAGCAAAGTGGGAGCTGCTGTATAATGACATGGAAAATTCCTCTGATTTTGGTTTTTCTCACTTTTTGTGTTGGTACTTCCTCCATGGGATCCTTACTGGGAGAAAAAAAATTATAATTGTCAAGATGGTGTCCTGCCAGCAATAAAAGAAGGTGCTGCTGGATTGAGATCCTTGTTTTTCCTGATCTGGTTTCCCACTGACTAGGGCAAGTAATGCAGCCTTTCTCTTTGTGTCTGCTGTGCATATTTTGTAAAGTGGGAAGTTGGAGAGTGAAGAGTGGTAATTTCACAAGGAAGCTGATGGGCAAGCTTAGATATTTATATCTTCAAATGCAAGTAATAAGGCAATAGATTGTGTTGTTACTATTCTGGGGTTTTCTACTGTAGGAAAAGGAGGATTCACTGGAGTACTTCTCTGGATGTCTGTCTCTGGTTTTGGTTGGACTGGTGTTGTATCTGTACCAGGCAGGAAGTCTGATATTTCCAGTCCCTAAGAGTGGATGGATTATGCAACAGAAGGAGAGCTAGTAAATCTCCCCCTGATGAGTTCTGCTCACCATGGGCTCCTGCTCTCCCCTGGTAAAGTCCAACTGACCTGGCCTGGCCATAAAGGTGCCTGACCTGGGCTCTGCTGGGAGTTTGTGCTGTCAGAGCAGCTGCTGGGGTCGCAGAGAAATGTGCAATCCCTAGTGCAGAGAAGGAGGATCTGGAACTCAGTATTTGATCTGCAGCAAGAATGTACATTTGTGCCATCATATGTTTAGGTATGTAGGTTCTTTTTTCCTTCTTTCTCCCACCCACTCCTTTAATTTTTTTATTTCCAAATAATTCTCCAGTATGCTTTAGAGGTAAAAATTTAATTACCTTTGGCTGAAAGGCCCAGTGTGAGCCTTAACTGAGATGTCAGTCTTTTTTTCTTTTTTAACTTGAGAACTTGGCAGGATGTGACTGATCTGTTTTTACCATATTGGAAAATAGGTTTTATCCTCTAATGTAGGATTGTTACAAGTGCAAGGGAAACTCATCTGCAGATGTTACTCTGCCCTTCCAGAACAAATGAGACAGCACCTTGGAGTGTCTGGGAGCTCAGCAGCACTAAAAAGAGGCTGGGGGATTTTGACTTTCTCTTCAGCTGTATTAGACCCAGCTCTCTGTTTGCAGAAGAAAGTTGACACCCCTTTCCTTTCGTTGTCTGATATTCCTGGAATTGGCACCACTTCCCATTTGCTCATGGGAAGGAAAAAGAGCAGTGACCTTGTGGTTTTGGCTTGCTTTTACTGTGGTGCTCATGTTTGGTCAGTAGGTAGAGTCCCTGCACTCTGGCTCTTTGCTGTGTTTCCTGCAGCAAACAGTTAGCTGGAGACAAGATTTTGCTCTGTGTGGGCAGTGTGTGCTCCCTGGGGACGTGTGAAGGACAGAGGATCCTGGTGACCATCTCACTTGATGCTGGTTGCCCTGGCTAAATTCAGCAAAGTTACAAAGCAACAAGTGCAGGAATGAAGGTGCCGCTCAGGGGGCTGGAAAAGGCTCAGCCAAAATTAGCACTGGCATTTTCCTGGGGGGCTGGCCAACACATCAAACAAGCTGTAAATAGTAGTGACTTAATGAAGGCTTTAGTGTTGGGCCCTCACAGCCCAATTCTTCCCCTCATCCTACAGGGGCTGACTCACATGGGAGCCTTTTACCAATATATCTCCAAATTAAGTCACTGCCAGGCACTGGAAATAAGTCACTCCCAAACTGTTCCACGGCCTTTAGAAAATAAGCTTGAACTCCTTTCTCACTGGGAGAACTGGCCTTTTCAAGTCCCTAGAAGGAAAAGTCTACCCTTATCTTGGTAGGCCAGCTGATAGCCCGTAGTCCCAGTGTTCCCAGTGTAGTTGGGGCATTTGGGAAGTCCTGGCACTCTAGATGCAGATCACTGTGTCCCCCATTTTCTCCAAAGTGCTTTCAACTCCAAGGGAGGTAACATGTACTTTCCCCCCCCCCCCAAATCTAGCATTAGAGGATGTTCTTTGATGTTTCCTGGTGACTCCTGTTTACATCAGGACTTTACCTTCACCCTCCAACCATTACTACTTTTAATCTGTAGCACAACTTCGTAGATTTTTTCAGAATTCTTTACAGACCCCAGGTATTGAAGTGATTTCTGGGAACTTCTGAGGAAGGACGCTGTTCAATCAGACTGAAGAGCTGCAGGGGTTGGCATCCATGTTCTTCAGTCTCTCCTCCTCCCTTTTCCTTCTTCATGTCCGTCTTTCTCCCTTGGTGTGTGTGCCCCTGGTTGAGAGCTGCTGGCAGGGAATGTCCTTGGGTTTGTTGCATCATGTTGGTGTGCTCTTGGCATCAGTGTCATCAGAAGTGTCCAGCCTGCATGTGAACCTGAGAAAAAGTGCTTTGTGGGGAAATGTGTGTGTGGGGTGTGGATATGGGGGGAGAAAGTTGGGGGAATGGGTGAGGGCAAAGTGAATGAAGAGGGAATGGGATGGGGAGCTTGAAAGCTGGAATGCTGAGCAGGGTGAGATGCTTGCTTGTGAGAGAAGGTTTGTTGAAATGCCTTGCTATCCCTTCTTCCTCTTGCTATCCCCCACTTGCAAACCAATGTTTAGGAATGAGGCCATCATGCATGTTGGCCAGTGACCACAACTCAGGCATCCAAGTGTGAGTGGATGTACATGTCTGAGGCTCTGGGCTCTCTAGGGACAGAGAAAGGTAATAAATTACATCTCCCTGCAGAATCAGATCTGCCTTGCTTTAGTGCTGGCTCTATGCCAGGATTTAATGTCTCAAGTTGTTGGAAAGGGTCTCTTTATTTCAGCTTCTCTCAAGGCCTTGAATTTCACAGGAACTGTGACTTTTACTGGAGTCAAATATCACTCCCTGTAGATGAGCTTGCACAGCCCTTTTGCAATATGCTGTGATATTATATTTTCATCTGCGTATGGTTTTGCCAAACTGTAATCACTTCTGCTAAAATATCCTCCAGCAGTGAATTTTCCCAGTTGAAATTCTCTGGTAACCAACTTTTTGCTAAATGTCTCATGACTCTGTGTTTTGAAGCAGAGACTTGACACCCAGCCAGGGCATGCCTGTAGGGAAAGGCATGTGCCTCTTGCCATGCCTTTGAAAAATCTGCCCAAATCTGTCCAAGCTGTGAACCAACAAATGCCACTGGCATATGCTTCTTGCATCTTAATTTCCTGAAGAATTCCTCTTGACTGTGTGTCAGAAACAGTCTTGGAACAGAGACCAACTAGGGAGACCTTTCATAATAGAGAAATCTCTATTAGTAGCCAGAACCTCACTGTTCCTTTGCTGTCTGGAATGATCTGTGAAACCTCTGGCTACTTTGCCTGTCCACTAGCTTAGTCAGTTCCTACCACATCAAGGAATAAGATATTCTGTGATTCCAGCCTTAGTTCAGGTGCTGTGAATCTATTAGTCATAACCCATGCAGAGGTCCATAGACAGCCACACAGAAAAATTCCAGTCTGTGGCATTTAAAACTAAATGAGCAGCACTGAACTCTTTTCCCCATCTACTTCCCCAGTATTAAATACTATAATTTAATGTCAGGCACTTAGATTAAAATCTGGCAAAATGAAGGATGCCTGGTTGTTTTGTTTTTGTTTTTCTGTGTTTGAGGCAAGTATGAAGTTCTGTAGGCATTTAGTGAGTAGCCTGCTGCAAAGTGATGCTGCTGCAGTGTGTTGGACTGCGAGTGACTCAGCAGAGATGCTTCTCAGGAGCTCCAAATGTCTTCATTGCGTATCTGGGCAGTGAAGCAAAGAGATAATGGAGGCCACTGATCTGTGCTGGTTAGCACAGCTCCTCCTAGGCCTGGCTCAGACTTCTCTCTCTTTTTCTTCCCCTCTCTCTCCCCCTGTCTCGTCCTTTCTCTCTCCACTTCCTTCAGTGACAGCACCCCAGCGAAAGCAAATAAAAGCCCCTCGCCTCCACCAGATGGATCTCCCATCACCAGCCCTGAGACCAAGACTGCAAACCATGAGCTGGAGCCGTCCACTTTGGAAGCACCTGGGGCAAGCATCCCAAAGTCACCGTCTCAGGTAGTGTCCCCATGGCATTGACCATGTCTCTGCTGATGCCACAAGCTCTGTGAGTCAAAGACCTCCATCAGTTGTTTTTTTAGACCTCATCCTGCTACTGAGCACACAGAATATCACATGATGGTTGTTCTCTTCCACTGGTTCCTGAGAAAGTTCCTGAGAATGCCAGTTGCTTATTTGCCATCTTTCTGTTATAAGAACTGTCTTTGAATGGTTTCACAGGGGGAAGGCCAGTAACACTTTTTGGTGTCTGATAGGATGGCCAAGAAGATCCAGGGAAGATGGAGTTGTAGCTGGATGAGGAGGTTTGTTCTTTACATTTGAGCTAACCTGAGTAGTTGAGTAGTCCAGTTTCTTCTCAAGAACTTCTGCAGTTGAGAAAGGTTAAAATAGAAAAGCTTAATACTATAAGAAGAACATCTGTACATTGGATGATGTTTCACTTTACTATCAAGATACAATATTATGCTAAAAAAAAAGGATTATATTTTTATGCTAGGAAGAAATTAGGTGGGTTCCAGGAAGAAGATAGTCCATTGTATGAGTGTGATACCTTCCATATGGCCTTCATTAGGCCTTTCCTTACACAGGAAATATCCAGCAGCATGTTCAAAACAGTAGATACAGCTGCTCAGCATATCATCTATGTGTTTTACTTTGGGAAGATAAAACATTTACTCCATCCTCTTGTCCCTCTGTTGCTGAGTGGGGGAAAAGCCTAGTAGGGAAAAGTAGTAACTAGGCCAAATTTACATTGGGTTCCAGTCCTTGTGTCTCAGTAAGTGGGACATTGGGAGAAATCTTCCAGGAAGAATTAAAGCTCAGAGGGGTTCTGGCCAAACTGGTAAGAAAACCCACTGCCTCTGAGAAGAGATGGGGGCAACCCAGAACTTCCTTGGTGTTCCCATGCATAGCAGTGTGATTCCAAATCCAAGCCTGTGGGGTAATTTTTCTCCTGTTTCTAGATAGCCTCTTGCTATATTGTTCTCTCCACTGCATATTTGATTTTTAGGATTATTGAGGGACAGGAAGAGGACATGTGGCAAAATTTCTTTTCCAGCCCTGTGAGATGTGTGGATGCCTGGCAGTGTCTTTTCAGGACTTCTCTAGGGTCTCTGAAAAGCTCAGCAGTGCAGAGCCTGACCACCAACCTGGTTAGGACCTCTGGAGTACGCTGTGTGTATGGGGGAGAGAAGATAGAATATCCAAAATTGCCCTTCTGTTGCAGGTTTCTTTTTTTCTTTTTCTTTTTCCCCCGGAGATTTCCAGTACTTGACTAAAATTTGGAACAAGAAGTCATATAGAGATTTATTAAGCTATTTACAACAGACTTCACTCACCCTGACTGTGGACTCATTTTGCTGAGTTTGGTTTCTTCCCTTTCCTTTAAATAGCACACACAACCCTTGTTTTTGCCAGCCTGCAAGTGCTTTCTCCTTCACTTGCTGCCTGCCTGCCCGCAGGAATGGGGCCGGAGGCACCCCTTGAGGAACAGGCAGGATATTCCAGCACAGCCCTGGCTGGGATTGGCCACAGGCAGGATTGAAATGACATTTGCAGCCAATGCTGCCACCGCCTGGCAGCTCTTCCCAGCCTGTGTTTAATTCATTCCCTCAGGCATCAGGAAGAGAAGAAGCTCTGTATTCACAGCAGCTGCTGAGAGATGGAGCTCCAGAGGCAGGGAAGGCAAAGGCAGGAGTTTCACACTCAGAGCTGAGCCTGGTGTCTGTGTGGATAAAATCTAGGAACCAAGTGTGTGGAGCTTGCCAGGCAGCTGAGAGCACAAGTGTCTGCTCTCTCAACAGTAAAGTGCCCGACTTGTAACGCTGAAATCTTCACAGGTGTCATTACTTTTGACCTCTGGGTAAGTGATTTGTTCTCTATTGGTCCTCCAAGGGAGGCTGAGGGGCCTCACCCTCTTTGGAAGGATGGAGCACAAAGCAACGAGCAAGAACAATTCCCTGGCTTCTTTGCGTCTGAAATACCAATGCAGAGTGTGAGCAAAGGCTGTGGAGAGAAAGACAAGATCAGGAGTGATCAAATAAATGCTAACTAAATTTTGCAGTGTTCCCTGTACAACCCAAAGCAACCTCAAACTCTTTTACTTTTTTAATTTTTAAAAACAGTTTATTTCTGTCTTTTGGAAGAAGTGAATGCTCTCAGCTCTCGGCAGAATAATTTGATGTTGAAACAAGACTTGAGGGGATCTGTGAAACTTAAAGGTCAGACTTCTGCTCTCAGTTACACCACTGAAACTCTGTAATGAGACTTTTGAAATTAGTGCAACTGTGCAGAATTTGGGCAGATAAATCTCTGTGAGGTCGAAGTCAGCAGAAGGATTTTAGAGGATTTGTTCTATTCTAGGCAACAAAGTTGTTAGTGCATGATGAATTTATGGGTATAACCCAACATCAGTATGCAATCATCTTGTCTTTGAAATGTGGTTTTAGACTGCTTTTGGAAGTAATGCTGGAATAGTGTGGGACTGGTGATTTCCAAAACACTATTGCATTGGCATGAAGGAGACTGACTATCCATATCAGAGGAATAAATAGAAGAGTTGTGATGTTTTTGACTTGAGAGTCAGTAATTGGAGCCTTCCATTTCTGCAGAGGGTGGATCTTTTCTGAGAAGAGCATTTCCCTGAAACTTCTGGTCGCATCTTACAACTGGAAGGCAGGGGGTTTTCAGGAAGGAATTGTTCTCAGGGAATATGGACACAACACCTTCTGCAAACAAAAAGCTGGAAGTGAAATCACTTGCTTCCATTATTTCCTCTAGCTAGCTATTCAGGGGGGAAAAGATGTGTTTTCATATGCAATCACTCTCTCTCAAGTAGGTTAATCCAGTAGAAAACTGGGCATGTCCTTAGAAATCTGAATAAAGGCTGTGTAGAACTCAGTTATGTGCTGGAGGAGTGTGAACACAGGCCTAGGAGTAATGGATTTCAGATCTGGGCTTCACACTGATACACTGGGTGCACATTGTCAGGTCTCTGGGTCTTGCTGTCTTGGATGCAGTAGGAAGATCAAGTAGCTGGAAAACTTCATTGTAAATGGGAGGCATTGTCATTGCTGAGCATTGCTGGAAACTTGTATGGCTGATTTATTCCAACAAAGCAGCAGCTCCTCAAAGTCTGATTTGATCTAGAAATGATCATTAAGCCTTGTGCACAGCAAAATATGAAAAGTATGTGGATGGGCTGATCTAGACAGGATATACCACAACTTCCATGCGGTTGTGGATGCAGTGCCAGGGTGAATATTTAGCATGATAAGGGGTAATAGAATGGGTTAGAATTACAGAGTGAGGTGGTTTTATGTATTCACTGGGATTTCCATTTGGGAGACATGACTTCATTGCTGTCAATGCTCACTGGTGAAACTGAGAGCAGAGTTGGGCTCACAGCAGTCATGGCTTCTCAGGAGTTTGAGTTGTTCTGGCCTAAAGCTGAGATGCCATCAAGAGCTCCTGCAGACCTTTCTTACAGCACACTTAAAATCAGTGCACCAGGGAGCCAGAACTGGGCAGATCAGTCTGTCCTGAACTGGGCAGATCGGTCTGTCCTGTCAATGCCACCTACCCACTGTAGGACAAACGGAGTCTCTTCTCTCATTCCCTTAGGTATGGTAAGTATGGCAAAGGGAGGCAGTGCTGGCCTATTTTGTTGGATCATGTTCTCAGTAATTGATCTGCTCCCTTCCCATTGGTTCTTTTGAAGGTTGCACATGTTTAATTATGTATGCATGTCCTGTCAATGCATATTAATTGTGTTACGCTTCTCCTCTGCAGAGGGAAACTTGCCCGCGGCTGAAGTGTAACTAATGATGCCAAACCTTCTCTGGAGGCGTGTGGTTATTGATTTCTGTTTTGTTTCAGTTCAGCCCTTCACCCCTCCCCCTCTCTCTTCAGATGGAGTTGATTGGACCCTGCTCTGTGCCAGTGGTTGTGATTTCCCTCACCTTGAATTTTTGTGACTAACCTGGTTCCTGTCTTTGGTTTTTTTGGGTGTCGCCGTCTGTGCTGTGGCCGTGTGCTCTCTTGCATGCAGTTGAGGAAAGGGCCTCCGGTGCCTCCGCCTCCAAAAGTCACCCCCTCCAAGGAGATCAAGCAGGAGAACATCATCAGTCTGTTTGATGACAATTTTGTCCCCGAGATAAGTGTGACAACCCCTTCGCAGGTTAGCTGCTATGCCCTGCCTGATTTTTCTCTGCCTCTCAACTCTTCCTTCAGACCATTCTTCTCTTTGGAGGTGTCAAGCCATGAAACCTGGTCAGGTGAAAGAGGAAAGCAAGCTCAACATTGAACCTCAGAAGGCAAAGGATTACCTAGGAGCTGACTTAAAGGGGAGAGTACTTGAAAGGCAGTAACAGGTTGTCCTTTGAGAGCTTTCATTCATAGAAGAAACAGGAGAAATGCACCTGGTCAAGATATCAGAAAGTAATTGCTGCATTTATTCAGCAGCAGTGCACATGAATTATGACTCCCTTCATATCCTGTGGTGTGCTATGCTTTCTCCAAAGCCATTGATCCTGAGTGTGGATGGTACTTTTTTTTTCCTGCTCATGTATGTCCCTAACTGCTGACCTTGGCATCTCTGCCAGTTCTTGGAGAAGACAGTTTTGTGCTCTCTGTGTCTTCACCCATGTGCTTTGTGGTTTAAAGCCCAGGAAAGGCCACAAGGAATTGCCGAAGTTCTCTTTGCAAAGAGTAGCTGATGAAGTTAGATGGGCAGGACTGTGCCTGTAGTTAAGTCTGCTGACACAGTCTGTCAGTATTGTCAAGTGGCACCTTCTGAAGCCCTGAAAAAGGAAAAAGTTTACAGATTATATGTTTTCATGTTTTCATATGCCCTTTGATTTATGTCACTACCAGAGAGGCTATCCAGGTAGAAAGTTCTCTGTTGGATCTAGGAGAATGGCAATCCTTATGTATATAGGAGCCTGACCAGATTTCTGGCTGTGTCATGAGATACCTGCATCTACTTTATTTAAATATATATACACACATATGTAGGTACAAATGTGTATATATATATATTCGCTAAATGCTTGTTAAAGCACAAATCCTATCTCTATCAGTGCTCATGTGTGACTCATTCCCTCATTTCTCCTTGCATCACACTGCTCCATTGCCTCTGGTTTGCCACCTTCCACCCAGCTGCTGAGGGGCAGAGATGAAGTGGGGAGGGAAGGAAATCCATGTTAGATTTGGCATTACAGTAGAGAAAACTTGCAGAGTGGAGAGATGATTTGACATCACTGCTGGAAGGTGGGGACGGCAGGCAGCTGAGCAGCTCTTTATCATCGTCTATGCTTCCTTCTCCTTTATTGCAATAGACAGCTCTGTCTGCCCCATGCTCTCTATCATGTATTTCCAAGTGAATGCCAGCCCTTAGTCATGTTCTTCTGCACCTGATCAGTGCTCTGAGCCAGGATGGGATCTGCTGTGACTTTTGACCAGATGGGAGTTCAGAGGGAGGACTCTGGTTTCCAGAACAATCTTCACTTCAAGGGCCCAGCAGCCCCTGGCACTCTGTGTGTTGCCCAGGGCTGTTCCTGTCAGATGTCTTAGTTCCAATGAGCTGTCTTGTGGGAGATTTGGGTAAAGGCAAGGAGTGTTAGCCCTTGCATTCAAGTCGTGAATGACAGGTAAGACTATTCCATGGCTGCAGCCCTTTGAGGTTTCACTACTCAACAAAGCTAAAGATTTGGGTTGTAAACTCTCTGATGGGTGGCTTGGATGTGCTGGAAGAACAAACTAGAATTACTAGAATGATAGTTGGTTTTTGCATGCTGGTCAGATGAGATGAGAGAGCTTGGTTCCTTATCCTTGTGGATCTCAAAAAAGGCATATTCATAAGGCAGAGAAAAATCTGTAAGAAAATTGGGGCAAGAGAAAATTAGAAGAGGCAAAAATGTTGGTGGAATTCAGAGGACTTACCTTAAAGGGTCTCACTTGCTACTTTCCAGAAGCTTTTCCATTGTGGGATTTTCATATAACTGTGGAGACCAACCTGCCAAATTTTGTGTTATTGAAAAGGTAGCTGAAGCAGTTGGGCCAGTGAGCTGGAAGATTGTAGGAAACAGGGGCAAATCTTCCTGACTTCCCAGAGATAGCAGCTTCCTCTGAAGCTGAGTGGAAAGCAGTCTCTTGTGGTTAGATTAAATCTAAACCACCAAAGTGATAGTCCAGTCTTAAATGCTAATAATTTGTGTCCTTTGTAGTTGTCCTTTGTAGATTTCTTATTAATAGTAATCAGCAAATGTGGAATCATTGTCTCTAGGTAGAGAATTATTCACTCAAAGGGAGTTACTCTGATGACTTTGAATAAAGTAGCAAAGTTTCTCAAATGTATGCTTTTTAGAAGACTTACATGTGAACGTTTATGGGATGCCTAGAAATGAAAACTATTGAAAACAACATTTTTGAGTTGGGAGGGGATTAAAATCTCTTAGCTGGGATGAGCTGCCATATTTAGAGTTTCTGACTCAGAAGGCAGGAGGAAATTAGCAGCTTTGGGACATAGCTCTGAGGTCTCTCAGACTTCCCTTCCAGTAGTTTCGGTGGTATTCTGCCTGGATTTTTGTTCCTGAGATGGATTGTATGGATGGTAGCTCTTTTATATGTAGCTGGAGAAGTTGGTCTGTCAGTGTAAAGGCAGCTGGATGAGCTGTGAGGAGTAGATACAGATAGAGTAGCAGCCCTTCTCACTCGGCAGTGGCCGTGATCCCTTTGACCACAGCAGATCAGATGCTCACACCATGTCAGCTCATTCGGCCAGGTGGGAAGATGAATGAGTGCTGTGGAAAAGGCTCAGGTTTGGTTTGCAGGGCCCCATGTGAGCTGCCTGTGATGTGGTGGGCACCAGGCAGTCAGGACTCGCATCCAGTGTTTGCACTGCCACCATTTCTTCTGCGCTTGCAGCCTCAGCTCCGGGATATCATGCGCCCTCCCTCCACCGTGCACACGTGCGTGTCTAACGCTCATACTACTTCTCTCCCTCACTGCTGCCAAGTTTGATGCCCCTGGGCCCTTCCAGGAGGGAGCCAGCCTGTTGGATCTGGATTTTGATCCCATTAAACCAGATGCCACTGTGGGCAAGACCCCCACACCCGCCTCCCAGGTTGGTTCATCTCGCCGTTCCTTCTCCCTTCATGACTGACTTGCACCCACCTGAACGATAGCATGGACCTGAGCTGTGGGTGGCTGGGCTTGGGTATGGGGACCTTGGCCTTCTCTGCTCAGTGTGAAAGTCCAGGAAGAATCAGGTGGCTGCTGGCCTGTCCACAGTCAGGCACTAGGTGTTTGTGGGGTGCTTGGGCTTTGCTTTGCTCTGATGATCCACTTAATGTATGTCCCTCCCTAGAGCAGCATTCGCTGTATGCTGTATGTATTAAAGTTGTTATTCTGTGGATGGGAATTCAGCCTGAGCTCTGTGCTCCTGCTATAAATTGCTCTCAAATGGATTTTTAATTAACAGACACTTTGATAATCTGCAGTTACTTAAGGTGAATAAGGCTGTAAATGGATATTCAAGTGACGTGAAGCCCTTCTTTTTCTATGTATGACACAGCCTGCACTCATAGTTGAGAAGCAGCTTCCTGCCTGTCACAGTGTGGTATCAAAAAGGAAGATGCCTAATTCTGTTCTGGGCTGTACCTGGTCCTGTCCTCTGTCACAGGCAGGTGGACTGTGCCTCATGTTATGTCTATGTGACTGGAGGCTTTAGAGTGCATCCTGAATATGGTTCTTGTCCTCACTGAGATTTTCCATTTTATATATATGAAGTTGTTATTTTTTGCCTGCGGATGCCAGTAAAATTTGTAATTAACATAATTGGGTTGTTTATAGCACATCTCCAGTATCATCATGTTAAGTAGGTCTGTATGGCACAGATTTTTGTAGGAATAAGACTTCTTTTGTCAGAACAATCAAACATTAGGCATTTGATTTCCCTAAATTAAAATACTGTATCTGCAAGATACTAGTTGTTATCATAATTGGATACACACCAAAATGGCAAAGCTACCCTTTTTTTGGAACTTCATGTGGGTACATGAGCATTTTGTGTCTACTTGCCTTCAAGTAAACAAGCTGCATATCCGGATAAGCCTTTTTTTAAAAAAAATTACTTTTTCTTTTTTCTGAATCACCAGTTAGAATTCAGATGATTGGTTATACTGACATAGGATACAAGTATAAATGTGACTTAAATTGAAATTGTTATGCTTCCAGTAAGCAACAAATATTAGACTAAGTGCGTTTTTCAAAAGTGCTCAGCAATAGCATATTTAGTGTTCTAACCTAATTATTAGTAGCTTCATAAGTCATTAAAAGAGAGTCAAAAATCAATAATTTCTACTGGTAAGCAAAAAGTAGTGAAAACCACCTAGGTATCAAAACAGCCAGATTTATTTCTTATAGGTGTGGCAGAGTAGTTAAGGTATTTTATTACTGATCCAAAGACACCACAGAATAAGGGGTTGGAAGGGACCTTAAAGGTCTTCTATTCCCAGGGATGTATAAATTCATGTACTAACAGATATTTTCAAAACATGCAGAGATAAGTGCTGTTGAATGTGTATGTCTGCTTCAGTCTGATCAGTGTCTGTAATGTTTGTACTCGCTGAAATAATCATGTATAAACATGTTTTATTTTTGTTGCTCTTTGACATGCTTAGTCTTTACCTTGGGATTTATGGGAGGTAAGAAATTCGTACAGCTTTTGTCTCTCATCATGTCTGTTCACATGCCAGTGCCAGCTCTGTTCACATGCCTGTCTCCTTTCCTTCACTGCTTCTCCTTCCTGCACACCCCAGGCCAAAGTTGCTCTTAGTGCTGCTGGACCCATTTATGCACCTTGTATGAAGCCCCAGGGCCAAGCACATGTTTGCAAGTCAGTCTGGCACTCTGAGGCATTCTACCAGTGCACATGCCCCTTGCCTTTCCCTGCTAACCCACTCATCCTTCCCTTGGCATAATGCTGTGACCTTCACCTCATACTTAACACCTGTGGCATCATCCTCACTCTCCACAACACATTTCCTGAGCTCTCTGTGTGCCGTTGTTCTTGTGTGCAATGCATTAATATCTCAGCTATCATAAATATATCATCACTACTGCCTGTACCATTAGATATGTACTCATCTTGAATTGTCTGTGGTGTTTGCTGTTCATCGACCATCGCTGTCAGAAAGGCTGATGTGAGTTTGCTCACCCTGTGTCTCCACTGGAAGTTAACTGCAGGCCCAAGACCTGCCTGGCATCTGCCTCAGCTTTGGAGCTTGCTGACATGGAGACCCTGCACATGCCCTGCATCTGAACAAAAACCTGGCCCTCGTTTATGCCCTCTCTACATATGTGGCCTGGGCAGGTCTCAGGTTGCTGCAGATGAGCCCCTTGGGAGGTATTTCAAGCACAACTACTTCTGAGTCTGCCTGGACTGGCGGCCAGCAGTATGGACAGAAAATGCTTGATCTGGATTCTCAGGCCTGCTGCTGGAACTGGCTGTATTCACTGAGTAAGCTCATGGCCTTGGCTCGTGCAGAGGAATTGAGTCCTGCCAACCTTCCATTCCCAAGGGCCAGATCACCCTCTAGAATAAGTATACTTGGAAGGACACGCCTTAGCCCTGGCCTAAGGGCCCACTGTGGCCTCTACTCTCCTTCCCATGAGCTTGGGTGATATCAAGGAAGAAGGGTTTCCCCTGTGTGTTGTACCAGCCATCAGTGTTTAACATCTGTCCTTCCCCTGTATGTGCATTGTCAATCTGTCATAGGGAAGAAGAGACTGGTTTAGCTAGGAAAAATCTCATTCCTTTCAGGTGAATGGGCAGGGGCAAGGTATGACTGCATCTGATTGAGCTGTGCTTACAGTTGTGGCTGTAAAAGGTTTTTTATTTGACCACTTCTCTCATCCTGCAAACTGGTTTTACCCAAAAGAGAATCTGCTCAACCAGGAAATGCTACTAGTCAAGGTGTTCTCACTGTACCAATTCTCACCTTGGCACACCATACACCAGAGAGCAGAATTTCCTAAAGCTGGGGAATCTCCCTCTTCAAGTCTTCTGAAGTGTTTTTGTAATAAATATTCTTAGCTGTTGATGAGAGGAGACTTTTTTTGGGGCTCTTTAATCCCATGGGCCGTGAGGTTAACAACTGCATAGAACCTTGACTGCAGCAGAGCTGGCTTAGTTCTGCAGACGGGGAAATGTGCATTTGGTGTGCATGATGGTGCTGTTGGAATAAGCACAGTTTTAAACCTGGTAACAGCAGTGAGCAGTTCCTCCTCTTCCTGTACTATCTTTCCATGACTGTAAATGCTTTTATAGGCCTCTATTTTATAGGTATATAAAATAGAAAAATTAATAGTTGACATGAAAATACCCTTTGTTGAAATTCAGGGGATTAATTTAGATCCAGTTTCTCTGATTATTCCATACTATTTTTGCAAATTAGCTGCTTTAAGAAAAAAACTCTGAACCCTCACCTTGAGGTCCTTTTCACTTGTTCATATAAAACTCATGCATGGTCAGATAGAGCTGGCCTGGCATTTGTCCCAGTTCCAGTTTCACTGAACCCAAATGAAAACCTGGGAGTGAATCCAATTAAACAGGAGGATCCTTTGTAGCATTTTCCAGGCATATATTTACCTTAGCTCTACCAAAGCTGCTGAGGCAATCCTCTGTAGGATGGGAACAGCTCTGCTCTCTAGAACATCTTCTGGCAGTATTGGCCTGTGGATATGGTGATTGGGAGACATGAGGAAGGATGTGGTAGGGGAGGAAAGCATGTCTTAGATAACACCACTGGACCAGCTGAAGGTAAAGTAATGGATTTTTATTAAATCAAGGATTTATTTCTTTGTTATGGCTGCTGTTATTAGAATGCTGCTTGGAGCATTGTGCTAGTGCATGGCTAGTAGTCAGCTGGTACATTTAAGGTTTACCATGGTGATTGCTTTACTCTGGGGTTTTGTAAGGTTGGAACTGTGAGAACTACAAAGTTAAAGAATCTGGACAATGCCTTGTTTTGAATATGATTGTATGCAGGGGTGTATGTGTCTTGATTTAACTCCAACTGGCAGTGAAGCACCACACAACCACTCACTCATTTCCCTCCCATTGGTGGGATGGAGGAGAAAGTTGGAAGGATAAAAGTAATAAAACTTGTGGATTGAGATGAGACCATCTTAGTTCAAACAAATAATCATAATTGTAATGAAGAGAAAAATAACAGAGATAAATGAAACCCAAAAAACCCCCAAGTGAGGCAAATGAAAAACAGTTGCTCAACACCAGCTGACTGATGCCCAGCTCATTCCTGAGCAGTGGTGCCTGACCAGCTTTTCCCGTAGTTTATAGACTGAGCATGATGGCATTTGGGATATCCCTGTGGTCAGTTGGGTCAGCTGTCCTGGCTGTGTCCCCTCCCATATCCTTGTGCCCCCAGCCTCCTTGCTGGCAGGGCAGCATGAGAACCTGAAAAGTCTTTGAATTGGTGTGAGTACTGCTCAACAACAACTACATCATCAGTGTTGGCAACATTATTGTCATCCTAAATCTAAAACACAGCCCTGTATACCAGCTATTAGGAAGAAAATCAACTATCCCAGCTGAAGCAGGACAACATGTGTTTATCAAATGTATGAGGCATGTAGGCATGCTAAAACTGGGCATTCCCATGTATTAAAAATGGCAAATCTTGGGAGTCTTCCCTGATGCTGCCTGGCTAGTCTCCCAGGGGGCTGATTTGCAGCCTTGGTGCTACCAGATCCAATGTACTTCCTGCATTGTTGCAATTTTTGGGAGGGGCAAATGAATATCTTTTAATTTTGTGTTAAAAAAGAAGTTGATCTGACTCCAGATAAAGGAGAATAAAAACTTGAACTGCTAGAAACCTGTCATAGGCGTGTGGTTGGTCTTTTGTTGTGCACAGAAACCCCTGTCCCCAGGCTTGTTTTGTCAGGCAGTGATTTGTGGGTGACACTGGATTTCCTTGGTGGTGGCAGCTTTTGTGCAGTAGAAGCTTTCCATCAACACAAATGTGCTATGCACCCCATCTGGAATATTCATAGAAAATTCTTAGTAATAGAATATTCACAAAAGAATCCAAATTCAGAACTGTTTGGGCCTGTCCAAAATTGATGGGAGTGTAAGTTAGCTCAGTGTCTGTTTGATTCAGTGCTAATGTCATGTTGGTGCTGGGTCCAGACTAAATTTCATATCTGGGCACATTCTTTCCATGCTCTTTTGTTTCTGGGAGCAGGTGAGTACTTAAATATTCTGTGGTGGTTATCCTTGGAAGTAGACTGTGGAGAGATCTTTGTTCTTTGGCATGCAAGAGAGCTTGTATTCTCTTACAAGTGGGCAATCTAGATCTAATAATAAGTACTGTGTGTGTGTAAAGTAGGTCTGCAGTTTGGATTGTGAAGAGAAAAAGGCACAGAGAATTTTTGGCATTTCATTGATTTCCTCTGAATTATTGCATGGCTGGAGTTGAGGGTTTCTGACTTTGTTGTGATTTCCATGAGTTGCAGAGAAAGGAGAAGACAAGTACAGCCAGACCCTGCAGTGTCTCACCCGTTAGTCAGCAGATGGCTCAGGCAGTGGCACAGAGCACTTGGGCAGGCTGGGCCGCACTTTTTGGCACACTTGTGTAGCTGGAATGAGAGTAACTTCCCATTGGGATGACTTTTGTATTGCAGCCTGCAGAAGCAGCCCGTGCAGGAGCTGAAGCAGCTGGATCAGAAGCAGCAGCTGGAGCTGAAGCATCTAAAACTGAAGCTGACTCAGGATCGGTAAACACCTCAAGGACAGCAATCCCTTTCCTCCATCCCTTTGTTACACAGCACACGTGGGAGGCTGGACTGGGACTGGAGCTGTGTGGCTGCTTGGAAAAACACATCCCTGCCACCAGAGGAGTTACAATGCTCTTACCCAGGGACCAGACTTAGTTGTTGCATTTTATCTGTGTAATGCTTAGGGAGAAGTTCTGCTGGAAAATTCAGTAAAAGAATTGTCCCTTCACCCATGTTGTGAAGTCAGCCCACAGCCCATGCTGTCCTAAGCTGTGTTGTCAGCTGGATTCCCTCTTGTTTGCCATTTACTTTACCAACCCTGTCCTCTGGCTCTGGCTGTCTCTCCTGAATATCCAGGCTTCCTCTCTTTTTGGTGACACTACTGCCCTTTATAGGGGACAGGGGTAGGTCCTGTCTCATGGCAGCTTTGTTCCTACAGGCAGTCACATTTGAGTTGTCTGTTCCAGGAGGTCTCTGTGAGATTGTATTGTGACCACAGCAACTGGGAAATGCTGGGCATTGTGGTCTCAGGAAGCCTATAACTCATCCCTGCCTTTCTGCAGCCTTAGGCAGAGAAAGACAGCAGTCACCAATCCTGCCTTCTCCCTGCTGCCTCTGCTGTCCCTTGGGGTGTTCTTGGAAAACCCACTGAAGCCATGGGATGGTTGGGGTCTGGATCCTCCAGGGTGGACTTGGAACTTCAGTTTTGGATTCTCTTTTCTCAATGTCTTTTTTTCCCTTCCTTGGCTGCCACTGCCTATCAGAGCTCTTTGCCTGCTGTTGTTGTGGAAACTTTCCCTGCGACTGTCAATGGCACTGTGGAAGGAGGTGCTTCATCTGAGAGAGCTGACATGCCCCCAGGATTTCTGTTCAAGGTGAGTGTGTGTGCTGTGCAGCATTGAGTTCCTGGTGAGGGTTTTCTTCTCCTCTGTAAGGCACTAACTGCTTTCACTCAGCATGGCCATGGGCTAGGGCAGAACAGAAGTTGAAGAAGAGATAAACCTTCCTCTCCAGCAGTGCAGCTTCATGCAGTTCCAGATGTTTCAAAGGATTATGTAAGAATATCAGCATTTAAAGGTCTTTCTATACTGTGCAGCAAAATCCATTCTCTCTGCTGGAGTGGTCTCTGTCTTGGTGGTGTGGTGGTGTCAGTCACAGACTCTGGATAGTGGATAAAATGTGCAGCTGACAGGACAAGTTAAACTTTGGTGCAAGTTGGCAAATTGAGAAGAGTTGGGAACACCAGCAGGGACAGAGGACTTTGTGTTCAGGGAAGTTAGAAAGTCAGAATTAACAGAGAAAAGTATAGGACTAGGCAGGTTAGTTGGGTGGGCATTCTCAATATGCCAAAGATCACTCGCAGCAAAGGAGTGGAGGAAGGAGTGATTTTGGGTGAAGATAAGCCACAAATTTATTGTGCATAAGGGAGTGTGGTAGCCAGAAAGTACAGCTATATCATGTCCTGAAAGTGAGAATTTACAGCATCTTACTATAGGAACACTTCCCTGCTTTAGTCATTCCCATTTTTTTTTCTGTGAGTTCTGCTGAAAGCAGAAGAATGACAAAGCCTTGAAGAATGGCAAGAGGCTCATAATGTTTAATGTGGTTTCTGGTGACATTTTAGGCTGCAGTGCTCAAAGTGCTGCTCTCCTGTCCCTGCAGGTCCAGGCCATGCACGATTACACGGCCACCGACACTGACGAGCTGCAGCTGAAGGCTGGGGACGTGGTGCTTGTGATTCCATTTGAGAACCCTGAGGAGCAGGTGAGTGGAGGAGGCTGGGTGTGAGCATGGGCCAGGTGGAGCCAAGGGGGCTTCCTGAGCTGCTTCTTTCTTCACTAACAGTTGGCTGGCTGAGCCCTGAGCCGTTAGTTTGTGGCTGGGAGCTGGCAAGAGAGCTGGTTGTCCTTGAGCTTGAGATTGGCTTCTTGCAACAGAGGGGAGACTCTGCTTGTTCCTGGAAAGTGGAGACATTATTCTGCATAAAGCATGTGGAGTAGCCATGGGTTCTTGTCCCTATCAAAACAATTGAGCCAATACAGTGGCTCTCTTGATCAGGGAGCACAACAGAGCCCATACTTTGCCTCCTCACTGCCACTAAACTTGATCCATATTCTCTATGACCACTACAGCACAGACTGTGGCATTGAGACAAGTGACTCATACCTTATGATGTTTTCTTCTCTTTTGAGAAATGTTGGAGCTCTGAGAAAGCAGCTGGTGGTGGATGATGTCTTGCACTTCAGTACAGCAGTGGCTGTTTCCAAATGACTGTGTTTGGTCAGGAGATGGCAGCAGAATCAAAGGCTAGAGAAGGTCTCAGCTCCAGAGAGCAAGTCATGCTACTCATCTTCAACCTGAATTTACTTGGTCATGTTTTTCTTTAATTTGACCTAGAAACCTTGAGTAAGTCCTCCTCACTCTCTGTGTTTGAGGGCACCCAGCTGTCAATCTGCAGCAGTTTTACTACTTTGACTGAGAGAGATAGTGAGTTTACAAATTTAATGCTCACATCTCTAGGTTTCTGTTTGGAAAAGAAAGAGAATTCTCCAAATCGATTGAGCAGTGATCAGCTCTTTGGGTTTGGCCAAGTTCAGATAAGATCTGGATTCCACAAGGGGTAAAGGGAAGGTGGTGTAGTTCACTAACTCAGAAAATGTGGATCCTCTTTGTGGCCCAGCTGTTGGCTTTGTGAATGATGGAGGCGGATCATGCTGATGCTTGTGAAATGGTGCCATAATATGCCAACAGTTCCCACACAGCTAGAGGAGGAGAGGTTTTTGGGGAACAGGCACTGATTCCTTCTGGAGACGAGACTCTCCACTGGGTGGGACTGCCCTGCACAAGCATTTGTAAACATTTCTTTCTCAGAAAGCTTTCTGGATGGGAAATGAGTGTCAGCTCCCCCAGTTTTGTGGTAGGAGATGGTGTTTGTGGAGCAGATGGCGTTTTTGGATCAGAGTTTTTCAACGCCCTGTGTTTGCACTTTAGCTGGATGTGGGTGCAACAGCCATGAACTCGAGACTCTCCAAGCTGCAGAGGGTGAGCTCTGAGTGTTGCTAACATGACTCTGTAGCTGCACTGAAGCCCTCTAACCCTTCTACAGTGTATCCTCTGCTACAACTCATTTCCCTAACCTCAACCATACCCAGCCAGGAATTGCTGGCTGTTAACATGTGCATGAACTGTGCAGGTGAGTGGAGGGAGCTTAGGATACTGGACTGATTCCCATCCCTACCTTGCAGCTTAGGTCTCAGTTTGTGGGTGTGCCCAGGCCTGGATTCATCTCTCTTGGTAGAAGAAAGGGTTGAGGGCAGCAACACTTCTAAGCTGGCACTTCAATGATGTGGTTTAAAATTGTTAAGGCCCCATCTGGATCCTTGTGTCTAATCCCTACAGCTGAGGAGACCCTTGATAGCAGGATGTGGTGGGAGTGATGCATGCATGCTCTATGGCACAGCACTGTGTGCAAATGGATGAGCTTTTGTGCCTGATGTGCTGTGAGCTGGGAGCTGCCTTCTACACACTTGGGCCCAGTGTCTTCTGCCTCGTTGTTTGTCTCCCTGATTTATGGCATGTCAGTCCTTCCACAGATTCTGCAGCTGGCTGCTGCAGATGGGCTCCCATCTCGTGTAGTTCCCATGACATCTCCTGTTCCAGTCTAAGGCAGCAGTCAGGGCTGAGTGAGCCTGCAGGCTCTGGGGGCTGTGCAGCTCCTGCGCCTCATGCTGCACTCTAAACTCATCGGCTGCCCCCTGCAAATGAGTGGGGCATGTGCATGGAAGAGGAGCTCCCACTGGGGCAGCTCCAAGGCAAGCAGAGGATAGAGAGGTTGTACACCTGAGCTGCAAGCTCAGTGCAGCCCTCCCACCCTGAATATCTTGAATATCTCCCTCATGTGCCTAGGATGGTGCAGAAACCTCAGTGCCAGGCAGCCTCCAGGCAGAGGGTGGGAAGTCTGCTTCTGCTCATGACCAGGTTCTACCAAGCAGGTTTCCTTTTGCCTGAGTGAAAATTCATCTGTGTTTATAGATGTATAGGTTGGAGGCTAGGGAAGACCTTATTGAGACATCTAAATCACATGTAGCCAGAATTTGGGAGTTTTGCTAACCTCACCTTGCATCAAACCAAACAGACTGCTGAGTTTTGGGAAGGTGGGTTGGGTTCCTCAGCTCCCAGTTCCCATAGATCAGGATTTCAGCATAGCAAATAAGACTCCTTTTGCCTGTACCACCTCTAAAATGCCAGTCATCTGGGTGCCCTGACTGGAGCAGGGATGAGCACCTCCTGGAGCTGATTCATCCTTTCCAAAGCCTTGTGCCTGAGATGAATGGGGTGAATTACACACTGGAGGTGCCTGTCTCTTTTATGGCTATGGACAATGCTAGACCCCTCATATTTGCATTGTGAAGGGTGAGACAGGTGATTCCCATCCTGTAGCTCTGGAGCCTCTTTTGGCAGAATTTCTCCTGTTTCAGTGGGTGTAAATTATGACATGTTTTTATTACACTTGTTTATTTTATACTGTGTCTGCACAGTCTGGGTCAGATGGGAGCTTTGGTATGAACTCTGGTGGGATGTAGCCTTTTCTCTGTTTAAAAGGAAACAACAGCATTTTTTCCTTCTCCCCCATACTCCTCCTGGATTGTCTCCAAGCCAAATAAGAGCATGGCTTTGGTAATGTCTTGACACCTCCTTGGCCTGCACTGTGTAAGAAAAATCCCTGCTCACGTGTCCCTTAGCATCTGATCTCTGTCTTCCCCTGCAGGATGAAGGCTGGCTGATGGGTGTGAAGGAGTCTGACTGGATCCAGCATAAGGAACTTGACCAATGCCGAGGGGTTTTCCCTGAGAATTTCACAGAACGGGTGCAGTGAAAGTCCAAGTCCCACCAGCTGCGTTTCTGCTGGAAGAAAGCAAGTTTTCTGGTAGATAACTGAAAAAGAACAACAAGAGGAAATGAAGAGAGAATTATGAAGGAATAGAAGCCTGAAAAAAAAGTCAACTTAAAGGGTGTGTTCTTCTCAAAGGGCAAGGTTTCAGAAGTTTATTGAAATTCAAAGTGTTATTGAAATATATACATATTAATAATAATAAGGCAATTCAGATACCCTCTTCCCCTTTGGTTTAAACAGCATTTGGATTCAAAGGACTGATGCAGAAGCAACTCAGTGAGGTTCTCCAAGTACTGCATTGACTGAATTGTCAGATGTCAGTCTGATTCCTGGAAAGGCAGTATTTGTTGAATGGTTTGAAAGTAGGAGCTGCGTTTGCTCTTGGGTGGGTTAATCTGTTTTGTCTTGAAGGTGGCTTGCATGGCAACCATAAAAATTCAGCCTTCCCTACATCTTCAACTTACAGTAGGCCAAACTTTCTGTTATGCTGTTGAAAAAAAATTTAGTGTATAGTGTTCACCACTACAATGTATGTGTGTGTGTGTATTTTATTTTCTTCCTTTAAAACAATGTTACATAGACTGTGATTTTATACATATAAAGAGAGAAGAAACTACATGGAAAGGGCATGAAGAAGGTGAAATGTGTGAAGCTGTGCTCAGTCCAAAGTTCTTTCAAATGCAGACACCTAAATTCTCACAGTAGTGTTGGCCTTTGAAAACCCAAGGGGAATGGACAAATTCAAGAGGACAAACAAGACAAAACAAATAGATGCCATTTGGATGTCTGAAATTTAGGAGAGGGAATCCTCTAGTACACACATCCCCATCCCTTACCCCCCCCTGTCCCCCCCCAAAAAAACCCCAAACCTATTGGTGGTTTCAGAAAAGTTAGATTCATGTAGATGGAAAATAGCTCTAAAATCTACTGGTTAGAAAATTTGCTTTTAAAGACAGAGATAAGGGAATTTTTTTTTCTGTAAGAATATCAAAGAGAAAACACTGATAAAAAACAAATTACTTTCTGTGCTTTTCATTGGCGTTGTTTTTTGTGGAATTGTATTTCTTATTTTCCTTTGAAGAGTTCTGTAAGTGAAATATCGTTAGATCAGCTTTCTCCAGTGCTGTGCTGATGATCAAGTTAACCTCTATGAAAACTGGACTCTTGAAATGCTTGTTTAAAATGGCTGTGTGACTTCATGCTATTGTAATGCATTAGAAAGGAAGGCAAGAATATCAAAGTGTCAGTGTCAAGAAGACACTCTGCAGTCTAATACTGATGCTGAGTCCTTTCTTTTACCTTTCCTTTGCTTCTGTTTGTTTTTGAATTTTGTTTTTTTTTTTAGTTTAGACAAGCAGATGACAAGGCATATTCTAAGTGCATATTACACTTGTTAATATAAGCCGATCTGGCTCTCTCCAAGACTCTAAAGTCCCACAAAGGTACTTTATAAACTTTACTTGAATACTGATGCAGCTGGCAAGCAAGTCAGACTATTTTAATTTTTTACAGCTTCCCCTCCTCCCCCATGATTGTTTTGTCCTGAAGGGATTTTTAACAGTGAGGTTAGGCCACGCTCAGGATCACTCTGAAATAATCTTCCAAACTGGTAGGAGTTGGCTTTTGTCAAAGCTGCACCAAATGCTGACAGAGTACTGAAAATCTCACCTTTTCCAGTCTGTTTGGATTATTTGTAGAACAGCAGAAAAACATTGTAGGGCAAAAATTGTGGTTAAAAAAAAAAAACAACAAAAACTTAATTTGGAAGAACAGATCTGATTTTGATTAGAAAATATATTCTTATAGATGCAAGCATTGTTGGAGTTCCTCCTGCTTTCAGCTTGGGAGATGATCCATGCTAGTTATTTAAAGCAATGTAACAGGCATTAAATCTGTCCTATACACCCAAATCCCTTCTCCTTTTTAAAAGAAAAAATGTGCAGGAATTTATTTTGCATCACTGTTAAAAAACCCCAATAGTATTTAGGAGTAACTGCTCACAATACAGAAGGACTGGACTCCACAAATTATGGTATGGTGAGCTGTTGCTTTAGAATACTGCCCTGTTTGACTTTTTTTTCCTTTTTCATCAGGGTTGTCTTTATTATTACTCTTTTTTTGTTTTTCAAAATATCTATTTTTATGCATTTGTGACTCCCATTACTCCTTTAAAGATTATTCATATAAAAATATACATTTAAATATATATAGAAATATATATATATAAAAAAGCGGGTTGATCCAATTAACATAATGCTGTCAGCTTAAAATGTTTATTTTTATGCAAAACCTGTGGATAATAGCTTTGTTTTTTTTAAAAAAAGGACAAGATTCTAAGTTACCAGAGCTGTGATTTTTGTCTTGTAGTAACTGTTCTAGACCATTTAGAAAGCTGTGCTGATACCTAATTTATTGTGGGGTTATTTTTTTGCTGTTGTTGTCCTCTGCTGTGCTTGAACCAGATGACTGTCCCAACAAAGATCCTTGTAAGGCCTTTTCATTTTATTGAGCTTGCAGAGCAACTATCCAGTACTGTATTGTCCCTGCAGAAGTGGTAGCACTTTGCAAAAAAGGGATGTTGTTTTCAGGTCACGTGAGTGATGCTCCAGTGTTGCTGGTGGGGAGAGTGTTGTGCCTCTCTCCATTTGCTTCCCCTGGCCCCAAAACCCCCAAGCCCCCTGGCTTAGAGCAGGTTAGGGTGGGTTACCTGGATCTTGCATTGCTCACAGATAAGTGGTGTCAGCACATCTCAAGTCAGGTTCTGGAAATGCAGGATCGGACCCACAGTTTATAAATTGCCTTATGTGAAAGTAGGATGGCAGAGCAGGAAACTTGTAGATGGCAGTGTTCTTTAGAGCCAGGAGAGCTGTCTCCTGGGTCGTTCAGCCCCTTGTAAACAGCCATGGCTCCTCCCATTTTCAGTGTTTTTACATCTCCTAAATACCTTGATTCTGGTTGGTATTACCTGGTGAAATGACCTTCCCCTTTTCTTTGGTTTACATCTGATTCAAATAGAAAGAGGGACAGTAAACTCTCAAGTAGGCTGTACCCTTCTGGTTTTTCAGTTTGCAGGCTGAACTGAAAAATCTGAGAAAAAATGTAAGGGTGACCTGAGACAATTTTTTTTCCATTTTCTCAGTGGAATGGAAAAGGGGAAAATTGAAACAAACAAATCCTTTCATACCAAAATGAAACATTAATTTCTAGGCTTGCATTTTAACAAATGTTATGTCTTGGGCTGTAACAAGTTGCTTTGAAGCAAAAATGTGAAACCTTCTGTTTTGAAAATGCTGAAAGAAAATGTTTTAATGTTAATAGTCTTTTTGCCTTTGCCTTTTTTCTTAATCTGATGACTGGTTTTAGTTAACTCTAAACTGTGTTTTTTTGCAAATATCCACTGAAGAGAACCCAAAGAAGCCCAGTTCTGCTCCACTGACAGATACACTGGACACATTTCAGGGATTACTTGGTATCTGGCCCATCAAAGCTGCTGTTTCCCCCATTTAATAATCTTCCACTTGATTGTTCTACTGGGTGAAAAATAAAAGCATCTCTCATCCCGTGCCATTGACTGGTTTTGTAGCTGGACTTAAATAGACATTCTTGCTCTGTTGGCTTCAGTTTGGTTACAGATTTATGATACTTCAGTTTGAGCCTAATCCTAGGGTGAAGTGGTAATTAATATTTACCCAACTGATGAGAAAGAAGTTAAGACATTGTTTCTTACCCCTTTTTCTATCTTAGCAGTGTCAGTAATATATCTATTTGATAGAATTAAGGAAGAGTCCCAGGGTGAAGAAGAGTATGGTGTTCCAGGTGAGACTCCCACATACTCTGTGCTATTTTCCATGGTGATTCCTCAGCTGTCTGCTTTTATCACCTTTGTTTTGCTTGGCTGTTGAGGTGAGGCAGTAAATGGGGTTGTGCAGGTTCATTTCCAGCTGCTCAAAGCTGGTAGTGCTTTGTGTGAACTGTGCCACTATCCCTGAAGCTTTGTTCACTTCTGCAGAACCCTTTCCTGTCCCACTACCCTAAGACTGTGGCCAATGCAGACAGCCCCAAGGGAACTTGGAGCAGGATTGAGGACTCCAAATTCTACCTGGAACTGGGATGCCAGTTCAATTAGGTTTTGCAGCCTAATTGGAGGGAAAAGGCCCAAGGCTGAGGAGATGGAGGAGGATGGAGGGGTGACTCACTATCTTTTTCATTTTGGGTTGATGTACTGACTCCCTCACCTCTTAATTCCAGGGAGAAACTCTATAGGGCTGAGAACAAAATAGGAATGGCCAAGATGTGTATGTTCAATCTGATGGCAGGTGCTTCTTGCCTGGCAGTGACACTGAGTTCTGAGCTTCCTGCTGTCTGCCAGACAGATGCAATGCTCTGCCACAGGTATTCTGGATGCTCTGCAGTCAGTGCCCCAAAACAGTGAATGTCCTTATCTGAAGGAGGCAGAGGTGCCTCTCAGCCCTTTCTAGGAAGACCTGTGGATCTCCCACAGACAAGGGAGGACTGTGTGCATCTAACACAGGCACCTCTGATTTCAGCACTGGCCCCATTCTCCAGCTCCTCTCACCTCCCAGCCTCTCCCATGCCCTTTGAGGATGATGGCAGCATTGGGCACATCCCACCAGCCAAAATGTGCAAAGCCAGAAGATGCACAAACATGTCCATCAGCAAATCCTACACAATGCAGCTTGATAGTGCTGATACCAGGAAAACAAGCAACAGCTTTTCGTCTCTGGGCCACCAAAGGGAAGCCACTCCTTGCCACACAGGTACTGTCACACCTGGCACTGGTGCAGACACCACTCTGCTTGCATGCTCTGGTTCACAACTTTTTGCACAACTCCTGATAGAAAGGAGTCCTGGGTGGTGCCCAGAGCTGGATTGTGGCACCAGCCCTCACAATCCATCGGGTCTTGTTGACACATGGGGGCTAAGAGTCAAAGGCTCTTTTGGAAATTTTGCTTATGAAACTAAATGGAGAAACTACAGCTGTGAAGACTGGTCTGTATAAGCTTGTACTTTGATGTGTCCTATGGCTATAATTCCTTCACCTCCTTCTGCAGCTTATTCTGCTCTTGTGACCCTAGTCTGCATTTCATGTAGAAGGTCCCTACTTGAAACTTGCCAGATGCAGCCCTGGGCTTATTGCTTCTCTTTAGCTGAATTAAGTGGGAACGACTTTGGCAGTGTATTAGCAATCTCTTTTCCTTCTGTTAATTCATTCTCTGAGTTTAATCACAATGACCTGAAATATGTTTGGGGGTTGAGTGGTTTTTTAATTAATTTTTGTTTTGTTTAATCAAAGCTGAACAATTCCCATTGTATTTAGAGCTGTGATACCCAGTTCCACAAGTACTAGATGAATTTGTCCCATCTTGTTTCTTGGTGATGTTCAGAAATATAATTTGTGTCATCCTAAATCCTGCGTCAGTTTCTCTCTCTATTTTTTTTCCTACCTTTATATTAAGAAGCTGAAACAGTTCAGGACATTTTTCTCCCCAGAGAGGTGAGTAGCTTCATAGGTGTTTGGTGTCCAGGCACCTTTAACATTGGGAGTTCTTGCAGTCACATGGGATGGAGAGGGTGCTGGCCCTTACAAGAGCAGGGTAAGCTCTTGTAGCAGCCATCTCTGTTCCAGTTGATTGTGACACTAAATGAAAGTAGTGTAAGGAAGGATTTGAGATCTTTCCTTTTTATTAGCTACTGACCCCAAAGTGATGTGACCTTCATTGTCCAAGGCAGGTCTGTGGTGGGACTATGGCACTGCAAGGGCACTCTGTGCCACCTGGCCAAACTCTGCTCAGCTCCCTCTGGCCTGCTGCCACACCTGTGT